GGAATGTTATTTCTAAAAAGTAAATACAAAAGTTTATTAAAAATGCACAAAGTGAAAGACAGACCAACGGAGTAGATATGGTTACAGAGGAAATAAACAGGCAGAGAAAAAGAAAATGAAACGGGGAAATCGACTCAAGTGCAGCCGCAGCAGGTGGCCGCCATGTTATTGTTGCTTTTTTCTGGAAAATGTGGGTGGAGGCGGCAGGTGGAAGGTGGGAGGTGGCAGGCGGGCGGTGTACGATGGGCGGCGGTGCAGGCAAAGATTCCACTATAAAAAATGTGCCATCTCTCAGTAACCTTGTCTACAAGACCCCTTCGGGGAGCACACCAACACCAGCACACTACATATGCCAGGATGTGCGCGTCTGTGTGCGTTTTGTAATATCCTTCATGCCAAAATGGCCTGTGGCTTTTGCGGTTCAAGTCTGGGCCTGTAAGTGTATAAGTGCTGGCCACTGGTGTGCGGGTGTATGTGTGTGTGTGTGTAGTCGCGCGAGTGTGTGGGTGTGAGTGTCTGCTGCAGTCAAGAGTGAAAAAAGGCAGCAACAAATCAAGCGTTACCTTGTGTTTCAGCACTCAGAAAAAATTCGACCTCGATCCCAATGCACTCTTCCTCAGAAACCAATTCTTACAATCATTTTCTGGGGTCTTAAAAGTCAGCTGCATTTGATTTTCCTTACACATCGCATCCTTTCAACTCAAAGGGAAAAATGTTTGTTTTAAAAGTCTCTCTTTAAGTGATTAGTGGTAATCCTTTCTTTCAACACTTAACTTGATCGAATTAAATAATTAATTTCTCCCAGTGTATGCTGCCATTGTGAGTGCGAGAGAGAGAGTGTTGCCAGTAAGGACATTGAGCGCTTAATTAAATTAAGGCAAACTTGATGGACAGCTACTAGACAGTCAGCCGTGTGGAGCAGGTCCTGGGGGCGCAGGGATGTGGGTTGAGGGCGGAGCAGGTGGGACAGGTGGGGTAGGCGTGGCAGGCAGGCTAACTGGCTGGCTGGCAGGTCAGGTGTTGGCAAAGTGCCTCCTACAGGAGGTCTGTGTTTGTGCGAGTGTACGTGAATATTTGTTTTGTGATGCTGCCACTCAAGTGTCGCTATGGATTTGGTTGCAATTCTGTTCCTCTCGCTTTTTCCCTCGGCATGTGAATTTATTTTATAGAACTCAAAAACAACACACTCTCGGTTGGCAAGTGCCAGATGTGAAGTGTTGTGAACTCTCGAAACACGAGCTGGTTTTTTAACAACTTTAAAACAATTTCAAAGGGCTTTGGAAGTTCTGGGCTCGACGAAAGAATATTTGGATAAATTGATTTTTGGCGAATATCAGACCCTGGCACTTGATATAAATTTGAGAGAACTTAAAGAAAAAATAAGAAAACGCGCAAACTTTAATCAAATTAAATATAATTTAATTTAGATTTAATAATTCTATTGGAAAAGAATAGTGCGCTTGATAAGAATGACGAAATTTGAGTAATCGGATTACAAAGAGAAGAAAACTGAACCATATAATGGTAACAACATGTAAATTACGGTGATTGTTACTTATGATGCTTCAGCTGATTAAATTAAATGAATTCCCAACTCTTTCGAGCATCTGAAATTGCCTCTTTAAGCCAAAATGCCTGACTTAAACACACACAGCCACTTAAAACACACAGGCGCACTTATGTCCTCATCGCGGGCATTAAGGATAATGACTGCCACAACAACAATAAAAATAACAACGGCAATAGCAACAACAACAACAAAAGAAATCGTAATCACGAAAAACAACAATAATAATCTGGTTCTGCCAGAGGCGACACTTGTTTGCAAGGACACCACAGAAATCCATAAATTCCAAGTCCGCTGCTGTGCGGCTCTTTGGTTTCTTACGGCTTTGAAATGCAGGAACTCAACGAACCCGAAAAATCCGAAATTTAAATATACAATGTAGGAAACGCACAGAATGGGCGTTTAATCAGCTGTTGGTTGCCTGTTGAGCGCCGTCGATGGGGAAGATAGCGCGTATTTACAGTTCGTTAGCCGTGTGCTTTTATTCACCGAATTCTTTCATAATTCCGTAGGGCTTCCACTATCGTTTAAATTTCTCCTGCTATCGTATTATTTTCACATATGTATATTTCCCGGATTTCCCAGTTTTGGTTACTACTTTTTTAATTGGCGCACTTGATTGGTTTTTGTGCCGTGGAAAACCCAAGACCGAACCGTACAGTGCGAATTTTTGGCGCTGCAAAGAACCGCACACGTTGCGTTCAGGTTGAAAACTGAGCGCGGGCAAATTGTGGGGCCTCTCATGGGAGCGAACTCACCAAATTCGCACTCTCTGCCGGCAAAGATTCGCGAGAGAGAGCCCGCCAAAACCTTGTGGAGCAAAAGCTGCCCATGCTAGAGAGCGAGAGTTTGGACAGGGACGTAGTGCGAGGGGGGCTTTCAGGTGTGCCACCTGCCAAAAATCAATTGATATTCCGATCAGGCGTGGAGCCCACTTATGGACAGTCCACCGATATGGTGTCACATTTCATAGCAAATACCAAATGGCACGGCACCTGTCGAAGTAGCACTCTCAAATCAAACATTTTCCAGTGACACCTGTGGACCTTCCGACGATTTAGAAGAGCGCAGTCGAAGTGCTGGCTTTAACAAAGCTATCTCTTAAAAGCTTGGGCTTAGAGCAGGGGAAAGCTTATATAACCGTTGGGCAGTGGCTTTCTTTAAATGCGCAATGTAATCAAAGCTTTACGAGCTATAAAAAAATATTATTTAACAATTGCATATTTCTGAGCTATCTTAAAATATAAATAAAGATTTTGTCCAGATTTCAGCAAAACGAAAGAATAGCTAATTTTTTATTGGGAATTTTAAGCTTCAAAGGTAATTAAAACTAGTTATGTCACCCTACAAATGAGTTTTGGCAAAGTCATGATATATTTCCTTTAGATTTGTCTGTTTTAATCTTTGGTTGGATAATAAACACGCATAGAGTTACCTAAGATTCCCAATATCATCCCAATTGTTCTATTCTTTACTCTAACAATACTAATAAAAAAAAAAAAAACAAACACAAATGAACAGTTGCGCTATGGCTTATCGCACGTTATACTATTTTTATAAATGTTTATTCACAATCACTAACTTAATAAGCCTCCCCCAGTAATTTCCAATAAACCATGTGCCAGAAAAACAAACAAGCATTACCAATTTACACCCAACAAAATGAGTTGATTCAGATATCACACCACACCCGGATTGTTTATTTTGCTCCTATATGAATGGAAATTGTAAGCAGCGTCAATTTACGAGTGCAACCACTCAACTACAAATATTTGCAAAATATAGATGGGATAGAACACAATTTTCCAATTCACACTCACAGCTTGTATTAAATGCCGAGCAACTGCACACGACGCCGATAATATTTGAACTGAATACAATTTCTGGCCGACTGGCTTTTATAAAAGCCTTCCGAACGGCAACAACAACTGCCACTAAAATAACGCAGCAATCGTAGCTACAAAAATTTCCGAGCTGATAATCTTCGTACGCCATCATCCAGAGGGGTCAACTTGGGTGAAACTATACGTACATACGTATTGGTCTTCCATTTCACTAGATTTGGGAAGTAGTACTTGAGAATGCTTGCCAATACTCTAAATCGAAATTTATCAATGAAATGTGCGGATCAATAGATTGATAGAAGCATCTAAAATTCGAAACGAAAAACTTCAAAACTGATATATTCACTTTTTTATAAAGAACTAACTGTTGGATAACTTTGCTGATCATATTCACCTATGCATAAAGCCCCTCACGAAATTCGGTTGTAATCGGATATCTTGAAACAAGTTTGAAAATATTAATTGATTGAACCAAACCAAACAACTTGCTGAATAGTGAAGATTATAATAATAAACTTCAGTATTTGTAAAACTTTCCCTTAGTATACCGAATTCTTGAACAAGGTGTATTAAATTCTAACAAACTCCAAGCTTTCGTGTCGAGCTATTTGTTTTCCCGTGTCTTGAATAATTATTCATCAAGGTTAATTTAAACATAGCATGATAGACATCTTGGTATTAAACTGTGAAAGTTAAGAAGTTCATATCAGTCCCTCTTTGGCGACAAAGTATTTTATTTATTTTTTATAGACAATTTGTAGCTAATTATTGGCACTGTAGTCCAAACAATATAAAAGTAACGTGTTGTTGCTATTAAAATAAACATAAAGCCTTAAGAAAATTTCGCACTGTAATTATAAGTGTCGAATTATACAATATTTTGTTCACGAATGGTTTGTTAATTTTTGTTCTAATCACGTCACAGTTTCCTGTTGAAGTTTTTTTGTTATACACAGTATGGTTTAAACCCAATTTGGAGGTAATTATATTGCAGTCGAGACCCCAATACAAATGTTTAGTACTCCCAGATGATTGAATCAAGTCACGATGTTAGTAATTATCAGTGTCTTCGGATGAAGTTCCTTAAGTACCTCACATATGTTACCACAAAAATATTAATTGAATTTTAAATATCTATAGATATCAGAAGTATTGTGGAGAGGCATAAATTGATTCCTTTTGTCTGACTTTCACAGATCAGGACAGACAAGTTATTCTATAAAATGGAAATATTTATATCAAACCAATACAAATATATTCGATTATCGAACTTAACTTGTGAGTGGTTTTAACAACAATGTGCAGTAAATAAAATAAGTAGCTCTTCTGTTAAATTTTGTATTGTGCTATATTCCTTTAGGAAACTAATTGAGCTGAGTGCTTTCATACTTGCACTTACCACTGAAACTATACCACCACATTAATTCCACCATATGCTGCATATTGTCATTTATTTGCTCCAACTTGAAGTTTAGCAATGGGGCCCAACGAATCCGCTACCGAACAAACAAAAACTGCTCGCGAGGGAAAACAAACCACAACAATGATCCCCCAGAGAGCCCAAAACACTTTTGGGGCTCTACCCATTTGTTCAGAATGTGAGCGCCCAGATCCGCAGTGGAGCCAACTCGCTCAGTGTCGTTTCAGCTATAAAGGCAGTCGGTTGGAAAGAGCAGATAAAACTCGATCAACGCAAAGGTTTTGGCTGAAGATAAACAGCGAGCGTTGGGAAAGTAAACAGAGGTTCAAAAACAAATGTTTGACTAATCGTAATTGGATAATTATATCACAATGGACGCAGTGCAGCAGCAAACAAACAGTACTAGCAACATCGACAGCGCCAAATGCCAGAAGCTGAAGAGATTCGTAATCGTGGGCCTGCTGGTCACCATTGGCATCTTGAGCTGGCACTTCTACGGTGAGTTGTCTCTTTAGCTTTAGCTGTGTTTCCTAAGAGAACGGACGTCGTGTTTTTCTCTTAGAGTACTTCCAAAGCAAACCGCTGCCCAAAACGCCCGATGACGTCTTGACCCTCTCGAAGAATCTCTACGCGGAGGAGACCGAGGTCAGTCCATATCTCTACAAGGTGAATATCCAGGGGAAGACCACTTCCGGCGCTCATGATGATCGCGCCCCTAGAAAGTGAGTAATGTGCAGAATGTTAAGAAAACATTAACATAAAAAAACATCAATAAAAGAGTTTATAGTGCCATTTAATAATCATGGTAAATCAAATCGCTTTGAACCTTTCAGCCTCTTTGAACTGCACCAGGATCTGCTGGCCAGGGATGCCAACTCCACCACCGCTCTTCTGATGAGGCTCTTCGACAACTACGAGTTGGACGTGGCTGTGCCAGAGCATCCAACGTCGGAGCACGTCCAGGAGCAGCACGATTTCCTCAGGGCCGTGATGGGAACGCGTGTGATGAAGCTGACCATGCGTTTTTTGGTAAACAAGGGTGAGTTGGTCTTAAGTGAAATAAGTCAGCTAAGTAGATCTATCCAATGCCCTCTAGATATTGTGAGCGTTGAATATGAGGATCAGCTGCGCCTGCTGCAGGAGCTCTGGTTCACTCCCTACTCCAGGGCTCGTGGTATTGTGAGCAGCTCCAGTTTCGAGCACGTCTTCATGGCAGAGATTCGGGACCAGAAAGCCCTGGGACTGCATAACTGGCTGTACCTTGCGGATCAGGAACAACGGGGCAATGTGGACTATAAGGGCTGGACGAAGCACAAGGAAATGGGAAAGGTACGTTTTCAACACAGATCCATCAGATGGGCCTTACAAAAGAGGAACTCTACATTTCCGCAGCACAACCAAATGGTTCTCAGCGTTCGCCACACGTTCCACAACATCAATAAGCCAGTCACCGGGCTATTTGTGGGCACCTCGCCCGAGCTGGATATGGCATTGTACACCGCCTGCTTCCTCGCCACGCCGGCGGAGGAACCCTGCCACATCCAGTTGGGTCACGCCTCCGCCACGATTGTCTCTCACGAATGGAAATGGAATGGTATGCGCCTGATAGGAACCGCCTATCCAGACATCTCCTAGATCGTACCCCACCCATCTCGCACCCTTAGTAAAATGGCTTACATTCGTGTCGAACATGTTGCTTACATGTTGCCCCATCGAAATCAGCAAAAGGCTAACCTCCAAACTCAAACTCAAAGTCAAGTTCATTTTATTTTGCCACTTTATGAGTGCTTGGCCCAGTTGTCGCTGGCAATTGACGAGGATGTCAGTCAGGACATGAAGAATGCCCGTCTGCCTATCATTCTGGTTGTTTTGACAGGATTGCGTGGCGCAAAGCACTTACATCACGAAGTTGTTTATTAGTTCTAACGCTAACAGTTTTTACTGCCGGAAATTAAGCAAGTGGCAAAAAGGAAGATAAGTGATTGTGGCGTGAGAGTATTGTGATAGTATTATGCAGTCATTAAGCTCAGCCTCACAATGGAATCATTACCTCAAGCTACATATATCTAACACGAAAATTCCCTTATCCAGACCACTGTAGTTTTTATACCTTTGAATCTCTTAGGCTAGCTAGTTAAAAATTAAATAACAAAGTCAACATATTTTGAATGGATTTATTAGTTATAAAACATGAATTTCCCGTCTACGCTTAATTCTGGAACACATGTGTAGAAGTATGTTGATTGAAGAAACTGTTGCTAGAGAACTCGGTGCTGACCCCTATTGATGGGCATCTAGATGGCGCTCGATGGTGACTGTCTCGTTGGCAATGCCCGCTGGCTGGACCACGGCCGGAGCACTTGACCTTCTGGCCGTGATGATGGTGGTGTGGGCCGGGGACAAGCTTTCCTCCCCCGAGCCATTGGCAGCCAGGACCACAAAGGTCTCGCTGAGATCGGCCAATTCCGAGCAGGTTTCATCGTTGGACGAGCGCATCAGGCTGGGACTACTGATGGAGCACTCCAGCGTCAGGCGATCCTCGCAGTCAGGACTCCAGCTACTTCTTGCCGGCGGCTGACGCGGCAGGCTGTTGTGGCACAGCGGATTTTCCGCCGGCGACTGCTCCAGCAGCAGCTGCTGACCCCACAGCTCCACTGCCCGGGCGCGATTGTGGTCGGCCCGTTCCGGGTACACCTGTTCCGGCTGCTCCCGCCGTTGATAAAGCAGGTGTTGCCGCTGCTCCAACCGCTCCTGTTGCTGGCGGGGACGTGATGCCCGCTGCCGCCGCTGCCTGTGGCGGTGGCGATCTGTTGTACTCCGTGGACACTCGCTGGGCGGCAGCTGGTGCCTGGTACTGGGACTGGGACTGGGACTGCGACTGTGATTGGCCGGCTGCGGTGCCTCCTGGCGCGGCGTCATACTGGTATCCAGACTGTCCATAGTCAGCTGCTCCATAGTCGTAGCCGGCTCCCGCGTCGCCGTAGTCGTACTGCTGCCCCTCGTACTGCTGCTGGCCATAGGCATTGGGATCATAGGCACTGGCGTCGTACTGCTGCTGATCGTAGGCACTGTAGTCGGTGTTGTAGGCGGCCAGATTGGCGCTGCCGGCATTGGTAATGCTGCTCTCTGCCAGAGGTTGCGACTGTGGTTGCTGTGGCTGCTGTGATTGCTGCTCCGCCTGCTGCTGCTCGGCCTGCTCCCGCTCCCGCTCCCGTTCCCGCTCCCGATCCCGCTCGCGTTCCCTTTCCCGTTTTTCGCGCTGCTCGCGGAGTTGCTGGAGCTCCCGGTCGCGTTCCTCTCGCTCCCTTTGCCTGTCCAGGTCCTGCAGCTGTTGTTGCTGCTGCTTCTCGCCCAGGCCAAGGTTGTCCTTGAGATTCTCGTCATCGTTATCCTGGAGTCCATAGTCGGCGATGCTGCTCTTTCGCCCTGTGGCCGTGGATCCCGATCCTGCTGCTGCTGCTGCTGCAGCTGCTCCTGCGGCAATACTGGCTGCTGCGGCTGCCGCTGCTGTTGCGGATGCAGTTGCTCCAGTTGCTCCATCGCCCAAGCCAATCCCTCCGGACGTGTAATCACTGTCGCTGGCGCTGTTGTGTGGTAGTGGGGTGCTTTGTATGGGTTCGATTGGGGTGCCGTATGTCGCTGCCTGGTAGTCGTAAGCGGCTGTGTGAGCACAAGAATTTTGATTAGAGTGGATCGCCAATCATGTGTCATAGGTGTGTGGATGGATGGATGGTCGTGTGACAGGGTCTAAATAGGGTCTTAATCGGGCAGATCCGCCTCCTTGACTTCAGCTTCCGGCTCTGATGGGGTGGTTAAATCAGTTTAGAATTAGGGACTATGGGATGGCGGTGCTCTACTGGGTTATGGATGGGAATTGGGGAATTTACCTTTTCCTGGTACTAAGCTAGTATAATCGTGTGGTGAGCTATCTAATTTACTCATATGCTCCTCATTACTCAACATGCGATTGGACAGATACTCTAGATTCGATTGCAAAGCAGATATTTCCTCTCTTCAAGAAGGTTTAAATGTTGGAATAGAGATCGAGATACGGAAGGATAGAAAGAGAGCAGATGGAAGAAAAAAAGGGAGAATGATATTAGTTATTGGTAGGTACCGTCTCGGATTTTATTGGGTGCTCCGCCCGCAAGTCCTGGAAGCTCAGCTCCGGGGATCCCTGGTGCACTGGCAGTTGTGCCTTGTATTTGCCCCAGATTTGCCTAAGGCGTGACATTAGCTGCTCGTTTGTGGCTCGCAGGTGCTGCTTCTCCTGACTGTGGTTCATCAGAAACAGAAAATATGTCAACTTAAATGAGGTCAAGCTAGAAGCTCACAAAAAATACAAGTAGCTGCGAGCGCAAGTTAAAGAATTAGTTGTAAAGTGCTATAATCTAACTAGACTTTAGTGCTCGCAATTAAATTATGAAGAGCCTCTAGGATTGCACTTAAACATTTCGCTAAGTGTACTATTTTGAAGTGCCTTATTGTGAAGTAAATGAAGTGGCCTAAATATTCTTATAAATTGAAATGAACAAGTGGATAATCCCTATGCATATACCTAAAACTTAATACTATTCTTGTGGCTAAGAAACACTCTATCAAAGCTTGGTGGCCTGCTCCTGCTCCTCCGTCTCCTCGTCCACCTGCTCGCGATCCTCCAGCTCCGCCAGCTGCTCATCGATCTGGGCCAGCTCTGGCGACGTCTCCTTGACAAAGGTCTCATTCAGGGCCTGTGCCACCTCGTCCACCTCCTTGACGAACGTCTCGTTCAGGGAGCGCGTGACCTTCGGCTTCGGCTGCTTGGGCACCAGTCGCACATTGACGTCCACTTTGACGGGCGGCCGCGGCTTCTTGTGGCAACCGTCTCGGCGCAGCAGCTGCTCAAAGTACATCTTTGGCTTGATGCTGGCGCTCAGAGCATTGCTGCCAGGACCTCGGCAGGCAGTGGATGTGGCATCTGCCGATGTGGCTGCCACACCATCAGCATCCACCGTCAAGTGTGGCACTTGACACGTGGGCTGGCAGGCGGTGGCACTTCTACTGAGGATCTGGTTCAAAACTAAATGCTGTTGCAGCCAAGGCAACGGATCCGTTTTGCATGGATGGCAGCAGCCAGTATGATGATCCGGCTCGGCGGTGGTGCTGCTGCTGCAGCTGCTGCTTGTGGTGCGGTGGTGCTCGTGTTGGTGGTGCGTATCTAGGGTGGATTTCATGGTCTTGCTGTGCGTGGTTTGTGTACGCGCTTTGCTGCCCGATGTTGCTGCTGCTGGCGACGCTGATGTTGCTGCTGGCCTGCTGCTGTTGCGACTACTGCGGCAGCATGCAACGCTCGTCTCGCTGCTGCGTCTGCGCAACGTGTGGATGTGCTCATGCTCGTGTCTGTGGCGCATGAAACTGGGGCAAAAGCATTTGATCTTGGATGACGCTGGTGTCGCTGCTGTTGCAGATGCTGCTGCTGCAGATGCTGCTGCTATCGGCGTTGGTGCCTCTGCTCTGCTTCTGGACTTCTTGTAGCTGGAGATCTTGGGAAGCGGCGGCATCTTTGCCAACTCCTTGGCCAGCCGCTCATTGCTTCTGATTATGTTCTGCAGGATCTCGTCGCCTTCGCCGGCAACATCCGCAACATCCGCAGTTGTGGCAGCAGCGACATCAACAGACACATCTCCTGGAAAATCGGTCAGTTCCAGATCAGGCGGCAAAGTGAACTCGTTTGCGCTTTCTTTTATTGTTGTAGGAGCCGCAATTGGTGCTGTGGTCAGTGGCTCGCTTGTTGTTGTTGGCATCACGAGATCGCAAATTGGTTCTAATTACCATGAAATTTGCGTGGCGGGTAGGCAGCGAAAGAAAGGTTTGAAGAAGTACAAGTACAGCGTGTTAATCCAGTCTCAAGCTAGGTCGAGATGTTTGTGTTATTGCGTTTGCTTTGGTGTGGAACGAATCTCGGAAAAGAAAATTGGTGTTCGGAATGTACTGGTGGGAAAACTTTGGCTTGGCCTTGAATTTCATATTGCGCTGTGCGGCTTTCAATCAAATGCTCACATACCACGGGGTGTCATTTTGTAATAATACGATGTGACTATAGAACTTAATTGAGCTGGTATTATTTAGACTTACACTATGGTATTAAATATGTATGTTTATAAAGGCCAAAAGGATTTCGGATTGCAGAATTGCTAGTGATACGCTTAGCTATTATTTGATCATAATTACTTGTGCTTGTAGGTCGTGTCCTCTAATTTGCCCGTTAAGGTCTTGCACTCGTTGGTCAGTTTATCCATGAGTTGCTTCTGAGATGTTATCATTTCCTCAAGCTCATTTACCGTTCCCGCTACAAACAGACATTTACGGTTTAGTTATACATGTTTTATATGCTTTTAAATGGGATTGAATGCAACGCGCTACAGAACAAACTCATGGATAAACTATTGAACATTTCTCTGTAGTTACTTTCGAGTTCGAATCTTTGGAATAGAGTTTCTTTGGAATGATTTTCTATCATTTGACACACCGCAGAACACAATAGGAGCATCAATAGCTTAACCAGAGTTCATAGAGAGGATAGTGATAGGTGATAGGGGTGTAGAAAGGTAGAAGTGATTCTGTTAAGGTGTTAACTTGACCCACTTACCATGCTTATCCTGCAACTCAGAGATCCTCTTGTCCAGATCCTTTTTGGTGGGTCGTATCTCGTTCTTCAGCTCCCCATAAGCAAGCTGTACAAAATGTGATAGGTAATCCAATTAATTAAGGCCGGGAGTTCCTATGACTTACCTCCTTCTCTAGATTGGCTATCTCATCATTGAGCCGCAGGACCTCTCGCTTGGAGTGCAGGAGATCGGCATCTCCACGATCCAGGCGCTGCCTCAGCGAGTTTATTTCTGCATTAAGACGAGCTGCCTCCGTTTTGGCCTCCCTGGCAGCCCGATCCAGCTGAAGGCGAAGCGAGGTGATGTCCTGCTCCAGAGATTGCTTCTCTGCATTCACCTGCGCCATGTCCGCCAGGAAGGTGGTCCTATTGGCTCTTAGTTCCATTTTCAACTCTTCGATCTGCGAATTGCGACTGGCCACATCCCGCTTGAGATCTGTTTCATAGCGCTTCTGGCGCTCCAGATCCAACTGGAGCTTGGACACCTGCTCCCATTGGCAACTCAGATCTCCGCCCAGTTGATCCACCTGGGTGTTGTAGCGCCTTTCGGCACTGGCCCGCTCCTCGGCCAACCGCCTGGCCATCTCGTGCTGCAGCTCCCTGACCCGCTCGTGCTGGCGATCCAGTTCATCCCGGAGGTGGCGTACCTCCAGCTCAGCCTGGGAGCGCTCCATCTGTACCAAGTCGTTGATATATCGCTTGGACGAGGCGCTACCCTGACTCTGGGCCTTAGCCTCGTCAAGAAGTCTCTGCAAGTGACGAACACTTTCCTCCAAAGTTTGCTTCTCCTGCTGCAGGTTTTCCAGCTGCTTGCGATGCAATTCGCAGTTGGATCCTCCAGACAAGGTGGCCACAGTGCTTAGGGGATCCGTATGAGCCAGCTTCCGTTTCAGCTCCTCGTTCTCGGTACGCAAACGCCGCAGATCGATGCTGGCCTGCATCAATTCGGCTTCCAGTTCGCTGATCCTGGCCTCGTAAACTATATTGGGAGCGCTTGCATAACGAGGACTCTGCACCTGTCCCTTGGAGGCACCTTTCCTCGGAGTAGACGGTGTCTTACGTCCACTGGCGAACATCAAGTGCTCGTCACTGTCCGAGGAAGGACTAGTGGTGGCAATTGGATGCTTGGGATTCCCCGAACCCAGACCCACCAGCTCGGAACGAGCATTCTCCGTCAACTGCTCATTTTCATTGATCACATCCTTTACTTTACCCAACAGATTGGTCAGCTCGTTGCGACAGTATTTCGATTCCTTTTCCAGCTGTTCGATGTAGTCCTCCTGCTTCTCGATAAAGCTGAAGATCTCCACAGGAGCCGGGACGCTGTCCGCGGGAAGAGGAGCAGACGGCACTGCGGCGCTCGGGTAGAGCGAAGGAGTGGAAGCTAGATTCTCCTTGGAAGCCGACAGATATCCCGAGGTGTAGCTTTTCTTGGGACGATAGGAGCTAATCCGCGACTTCTGACTGGGCGACAAGTACTTGGAAATGTCCGAGAAGACGGGTCGCTCAATTACCTATTGAAATATAATGTTACAGGATTTCGTTGCACTGAGTTGGTTGCCAAACGCACCGATAGGTTGTCCGAGAAGTTGTCCCCGGAATCCTCGTTGAGGTTGCGCAAATAGGACGACACACCTCCTCCCAGCTTGGGTGCCACGTAGGAGTTGTCGGCCAGCATTACCTTGAGGCGACCCACTGCCTCATTGTAGGCGTAGTTGGTGTAATCCATGGTCTTGCTCTTCTTGGTGATGCCTCCCTTCGAAGACTTCATCGGGAAATTTCTAAAAATTATGGGGAAGTAGGAGGGCACATCTAGGATCACATTTTTAGACAGAATTTGGCTACAGAACAAAGCTGCTCAGCAACTGAAGTGGAAAATGGAACTGTGCCCGAAACGAAAAAAGCCTATCTGAAGTTGTCTTTTGGGGTGACAATTGGAGTTGGTGTTGCAGTTGTTGCCAGGACGACGGGTTGGCCAAAATAAAAATGTAACCCTGCTCCTGTGGCCGAGTGCATGCGTCATGGTTGAGCAAACACCTCTACAAGGGTTGTTGAATCCTGGATACCTCATAGCAAGTGGGTATAGATTCAAGAAATCCTGGACGTTATGCGTAGAACCAGATTTCTTACGTTCTTTCTTTATGATAATAAAATAAAGAAACAGCACACGATTCTTAACAGCATTCTTTAAATAATATATAAATTATTGACTGCTCAACAAAATATCTGGCCCAGACTTAAATTTGCCAGCAGAATCTATTTATCATGATTTTCTAAAATTATATTTTATGCTTTGATTGAAAGATAATGGGTTCTATATCATGCTTGCCATTAAAACAATCTCTGTTGATATCGTTTAACTTTTAGAGGGCGGCCATCAAAAGAATCTTATAAAACGCTTACGATTACAGAAAATAAATTCTAAATAAAATGTTCTTCGATGACTTAACCCTACAATGTTGTGCAGCTGCTTTGTCATTCGCAAGCAGAAGTTGACGCAAACTGCATCTGTCAGTTCCTGAAGAAGCAACTACAAGGACAACAACTTTTGACCACATCTCAAGACATCTCGAAAGTTTGAGCTCCCACTTTCACCGCTGCTCCTTCCGGAAGGATTACCTCGAGCGCCTCTTTATCCGGCCACCCGCACTGCTCACGCTGGCGAGGCTCTCCCTGTCCGAGTATCCGGTGGACCGCTGCTGGGTGAGATGACGCAGGTCGTCGCTCGTCAGAAGCGGCGACGATGTCAGATGGCCGATGTTGCCGGTGTGGTTCTGCGAGTGCGAGTGGCTCCGATTGGTATTTTTCGGTTGGTACAAAGGGGCGCCGTACTTGAAGAAGTTGTCTGCTTTCATTTTACACACAAGGGCATGGGGCACGGGGCACGGGGGAACTTGGCTAAAAGTTTGTGGCACAATCCAACATGCAACTCGGCGCGGGAGCAGGGGAATCACTTGTGGTATGCACTTCCTTCCGCCTTGCGGTTGCACTTTAATTGTTTCTTTGCTTCTGCGAAAGAGTGAGCGACAGGACGACAGGACGACGACGCGATGAAGTTGAACTGAAACGGCGGCAAACACGAGTCGGGTCTTTTATAGACTCGGTCGGCCCAACATCCCCCATCCAAGGGTATATGGTTTACTGTGCCTTGGTAATGGGTTTGGTGCCACGTCGTGCCCTGTCAGCAAGATTCCAAAACACACCCATTAGCATTTCCTTCGCAGCAATGCAATTGTCGCCATGGCAGCTTACCAATGCGATGGGGGCTTGTCCTGGAATCTCTCCGGTATTGGCTCGTCTTCTGTTTGGTCGATACCAAAGGGGGACTCGTCAATGCACTGGAGACACGCTCATTTGTGCCAATATTTGGTCATATACATGGTCCCCACTCTGCTCCTCTTCTAGGTTGTTCAACTTTGGGCTTGTCTTTCTGTGCGAATCGAGGCCAAAAGCGTTTTCATTGCATATTTTAAGGGCTCCTAACTGGGTTTATGTCTGCAGTTATTTTTAGTTTTGAGTTGCTTTATTTATTGCGTACAGTGCTATTAGCTAAAGCAATTTAATTAGAAACAATTAAAATATATGGCAGGGTAACAAGGTCAAAGTGCCAACGGATTTTGTGGTTGAAAAGCTAGGAGTGGCAGTAAAAAGTTTGACACGCTTTAGATAAACCAAACACCTGATAACATAATTTATTACAAAAATTAATTCCATGATTTCATTTGAAATGCCAAAACCAATAAAGTCCAAATAAGTTTTCCATATTAAGTATGAATATCCTTCGGTGAGCGCTCTTGCCGAATTCCTTTCGAAGACTATTAAGTTTCAGCATGCAGTTGCCAGCGGCCAGCGGCCAGCTACTGCCACATGTGGTAACCGCCTAGACCGGCCAACAATTGATTGTCGATGTTCCTATAACTTATGGCCAAATCACAGACATTTAATAGCCCAAATAACTCAGACTCGGTAGCCGTCGATGCAACAGCTCCCAGGAACCCAGCGACCCCACGGCCCCCTTCCCAAGCCCCCCTCCACCCACCAAAGCACCTCGGAGCACCCAAAGCCTGATCAGGAGATCCGAGTCGAACCCATCCCGAGTGCAGCCACACAATCAATCAATGCAATCTCTGTTATCATGAATAATTTCCTAGCGGGCAAATCCACAGCAGCAAGCGCAGCAGCCGCAATTGCGCGGCAGAGCCAGAAAACCCTTTTGGCCAAAAAAAGGGGCAAAACAAACCATTTTCCTGCACACTTTGAGCCCTTTTCCATATATTATCAGCTTCTTGCGATTTAATTACCCAGGCCATGGAAAACAGCAGCAACAGCAGCAACAGCAGCAATAACAGCAACAATGAGAGCGGCAGCCAGTGCTACAACAGCAGCAACCAGCGAAATGAACCCTCTGAGATAAACGCATAATTCCGTGTGCAAAAATCTGCAAGACAATTCATAAACATAACCTACACGAAAACCCCCTCTGAAGTCTGAGGTCTGAAGTGGCCGTGTGTGTGCGAGCCTTATCGATCGTGGTCAAGAGCAGCGGCAAGAGACCGGAGCCCCAACCATGTCCAGTCCCAATCCAAGTTGGAAGCCCTCGGGGCGCTCTCAGCAATTTTCATTGCTCCAGCTTTAGCTCCGGCCACTGCGACTTCGACAGCTACACAGGGAAAAAATTCATCACTGGGCTTTGGAAACCGATTGTCATAAGTCTTAACAGCTTATTTTCCAGAGCATTTTAATGAGTCATAAATTAGCATGAGGAAATTTTTCAGCTTTAATCCTAATTAAGTGAGTTCTCGTAAGTCTGCTGCGTTTTTGCCTGTGCAAGGCTGCAGCTCGAACTCTCCGCTGTGATCGTTGTCGCGATCTGTTGGCCCGGTCGTCCTCCGACTTGCTCTGATTCTGCGCCCAACAACAATTTGCTGCGGCCCGCTTGCACTCGCTGCTGGCGTCGCAGTCGCCGCTTACATCGCAGCGGCCTTAGCTATTTAAAAACACTGCATTCCTGCGCCGCAGTCATTCAAGAAGAAGTTGAGAGTTGGGCTGGCTTAAACGCAGCAAGCCGAGAGCGCTCCAAAACAGAGCTGCCGCAGCCGAAGTCGAGCGCTGAACTTGTTTCATGCTACTTGGGCTTAGTGTGCCCGATCCCCTATGCCGAGCCCCGCGCCCGCGCCCCTCGTTTTTTGCCTCTTAAATGCTGTAATAAGCCAACAACAGCGGCCAGAAAACATGTTTATGAAAAGAAAGAAATTCCATTGCAAACAAAAGAGGGAGCGCGAGGGTAAGAGGCGTGCGCTGCGCATGCGCGCCTGTAATCCAGCTCACATACACACAGGCCCACTCAACCGTACTCTTAAGCCTCTTTTTTTTAATTTTCAGCGAGGAATCTTGAGGGACTCTCTTAATGTATGCCAGTTAAGCCCACAGGCATATTTAGCTATGCCGTGGTGGAAACATATTTGCGAGCACAGCAGCAGAACAACAAAAACGGAAAAGTAGCACAACATGTTCAACAGGCGTTGGTTTACAAGGGGGCGGGGAGAGCGGGCCAGGAGTTTGGGAACACGGTGAAATAGTTCGAATAAGTGGTGAGTTGAGATTCCTTAATTTATATTAAAATTAAATAATAATTATTTAACAAATTAAATTTACTAGTGAAATAGTGAAATTTAATTTAATTTAAGAAGAAATGTTGTATTAAGACCGTGTCAAATTGATGCTTAAAATTTCATATTTTCGTATTTATTGATTTGAAATCTGACCACTCTCTTAGGTATGCTACATGTTTTTGAAAATTGAAATTAAACCAATTTATTTGGTTCCTTGATCTAAGTATTTCTTTATAGTCTATTTTGAATTAGAGGATGTCATTTTCCAATTCTTAAATTCAACAAGTTCGTTGCCCAAGTCTTTTCTTTCGCCTGGCAATGCCCACCTTCCACTACCTGTGGTGTGTTTCTGCTTCGTCCAAGAGAGCACGTCGCTCTCTTCGCTGCTGCCGTGGTCGCGATCGGTGGCCCACACTCTGCACTGCGATTCGTACTCAGTTGCCATTTACCTGTCGACGGATCAAGGTGCCCGCGTGTCCCGGTGTCGTAGAAGCGGATCAAACGGTCTAAAGGCGCCGCTCTGCGTTGCGTGCCTACGTGTCCTACGGGTGTGTGTGTGTGTGCGAGTCTGCGCTGGTGTTGATGCCGTGAGTCAGTGAGCGCAAAAAAGATAACACAAAGAGCCATAGTGAAAGATCGATACGCACACACTCTCACGCGACCTGCAATGAAAATAAAGTAGAGAAAAGAGTGCGCCAGTGTGTGCGTGTGCGTGTGCGAGTGGAATAACAGAGAAAATAAATGGAAATTAAATGAAGCTGCAAAAACTGCCAAATAAACAAAGTGCTATGCCATGCATAAATGAGAACCCAAACGGAGTTACCTGTATAATCATCAAGGTAGAACGGGCGATCACAACTTATTAAATTGCAATTCGAGGTTCAGGTTTTCAGGCCCTCTCTTTGGCTCTCCCTCTCGCTCTCTTGGTTACTGTATGGCTTCGTTAAGCATATATTCCATAGTTTTCTTTATTAATATTGCTCGGTCGTAAAATTGTAATGGAATTATTCCTACGCCCATTCCCTGTGACACCTCGCATAAGAGGAAAACTCTCGACCCCAAACCAAAACCAAAACCCAAACCAGTTGCAAAAGTTGTCACATTAAAATCACACCTTTGGAGATATATATTTATTGTTGTTGCTGCACCACTTTGGCATATAACTCGTTCGCGATACAACCACCGATGCAGATGCAGATGCGGATGGAGCTGGAGCTGGAGCTGGAGCTGGAGCTGGAGCTGGAGATACACCCTCTCCGCGAGGTGGTTGCATGCAAATTATACACGTAGAGGAAGTCGGGATCTCTCGACTGGTCATTAACTCAACTAGGAGTTGCTGCAACGGATATGTTTATGGCCAACTGATTGAATTTCATCCTCACACAGACGCATACTCGCGGCAATTATACGCCGAACGACTTTCCTTTTTCCCCCGCGAAAATAACTATATTCATATTTTTCCTGGAACTCCGCAGTGCCCAGATAGACAGATACATAGGGAATTCTAACCAGCGTTGGGAGATCACAGCTATGACACACGTGTTGGCCAAATGTATTCGGCTCTTCACATCATTAGCAAAGTGCCCGGGGGTTTGCCCCTGTAGTTCGATTAGCTGGAAACCATATATACCCAACAGAAACCCACCGAAACCGAAATAAGCAGACGAATGTTTTATGTTTGACTTCTCCCTTGTAATCTTAGCATGTTAAATGATTACAAATTGGACATTTGATATCACAACATTTTGGCATTTGTGTCGGGCTCGCACTTTCCCAGCCAGCGGCGATTCGAATCGAAAGCGGGCAAAGATCGCCCGCTTACTCGCGCATTTTCCAGCAATTTCAAATATTTCCTACAAAAATGTCAACATATGCGCATTGCAATGACAGGCCAGCCAGCGAGCCACTTGGCCACTTGGCCACTCGGAAAGCCAATGCAATCCACAATCCAGAGGTCCGACAATCCAGCAGTCCAGCAATCAGCCATGGCCCGCAGCCCCAATCAAAGCCAAAAAGCTTTCAAGCCAAAAGGCTGCCGCCATCGCAGTTGCAGACATGGAAAAGCCACTCGCCGATTTCATGAGATTTTCAACAGTTTCTTTTTTATATTTATTATTTTTATATTTCAAACTGCCTTGGCGGGGATCCATTAACTACTTAGGAAATTTTGGAATTTGCTGTAGCTATCTATTATTCTCAGATAAAATCTATTATAAAATTAGTAGTTGCTAGAGCTTGGCGGAAAATAATTCTAAACCATTTTTATACTGAATTTATCAGCACAATTATGTAGAAATACCCAATAAGCCAGATTTATTTATTTATTTAGATTTTCTACGCCGGACTACATTTATTGTTTTTTTTATATTAACTGGAGTATTTTAATAGATTTTTAATATAAATGTAGTAAATTTTCCGTATAAATAATGGAACATCCTTTAATCAGAAGAGCATTCCCAGTTCGGTGCTTTCCTCCGGCTAATCGACTTTCCTTTCTTGTCCGCAACTTTTATTGTATGTCTCCCTGCGCTGTGTGAGTGCGGGTATTTATGTGTCTGTTTGTATGATTTCATAGCTCTTGCAACAGTGCAACCAGCAAATACTAAAATGCAATGCGACGTATTTTTTATTATTTATTTTTCCTTTATTTTCATTTTTCTTGGCGTTTTCGTTTTGTTGTTGTCTTGCAAGCCAAAGCTTGCCGCGAATCGTGGCCAAGAGAGTTCGGTGGTCGAAGTTGCAGTCTCTCACGCCACAAGCGACAGTTTTGTATTAGAAACGGCAACTTGTAGCTGCAGCTAGTTACGAGCTTGACGATTGCCTGGCAGGGGAGCGGGATGGGGAGGGTGAGGAGAGGGCGGCGGTGCAGGTGCGCGGGGGGAGGCAGCTGGAATGTTGTTTCTACTTGCTAGTTGGCCATGTTGCCGAGTGACTGACATAGTTGCTGCCTCAATTGTTGTCGTTGTCGTTGCCGTTGTCGCAGGGCATTGCGGGCTGAACTTTAAAATTAAATTTGTTAAACAATTTATGTGTAGCATATTAGATGGCGGAAAAAGCAGATAGAGAATCTATGCGGGCGTCTTTGGGCTTAGGCTTGGGCTTTTGGCCCCATGCGGGCCACCACCATACAGATATAACCTGTTTCGCTCGCCTTCTCGACGGATTCCGATTTCCGAATGAAAAGTGGCCAAGAGTCGGGGACAAAACGGTGCTTTTCTCTTGCACCTATCACTCGATCATGGCCATCTCTCTTTCTCTCTTTAATGAAATGTAATTTGAAAAATTGCGCGCGGCAAATTGTTGGCTTCTTGTTAGAGAGACCTCGTTGTCTTGTGCAGAATTTCAAATATTTTGTCTTAATTAAAATTATCCGATCTCCGTCTTCTTTTAGCAGCCGTCTAGCAGCGAAAAGTCGGGCAATGCTTTTAGATAAATTAACTCTGACATTTGGTCCGTCAAGCATTTGTCGCTTTTTTGCATTTGCTCGACATTTTTATTGGACTTTGACTTGGCCTGGATTTATGTGCTTCGAATTCGGGGATCTCGGTAGTGGGTATCTCGGATCTGTGGATCTGTGGATCTGGGCATCTGGGGATCTGGGTATCTGGGGATTAGCCGTGGTGCCATCATTCACGTCCGCAATTGTGCTGGCCCCGTCAAAGTCAGCGCTGCCCCTGGAACAGCATGTAATTTGCAATGAGCTCGCTTTGGCCGGGCCTGCTGTTTAATTTCAGCTTAAGGCACAGTCACAGCAAAAGTTATTTTCGGGGCCGTGGCGCAGAACAAAAGACTCAGGCAACGAACTGGTTCGCCTGGAATTTGAATTATGCTCGAGTCGAGGATGAGAAGCTGGCCAAGAATCTGCCTTTGATTGATGACAGTCTCAATGTTTCAATCGCCGCGGCTGCGTCTTCACGGCTGTTATTGTGTTCACGGTTCATTATATAAGATTCGGTTTAATTAGTTCGACTAAAATCTGCGCGTTCTTCTTTAATGGCTTGGTGAAATTTTTAGTTACAGATAATGACGAAAGAAATGGCACAAAACCATTAAAGAAATTTCAGAAAAACCTCAAAAGCAAGTCCAATTTTGATGGATAGCGCGTAGACGTCAAGAAATCAATTTATATACATATATATATTAAACATTTTTTGCACTATCAGATCAATCAGCGCTGAACAAAAATGAGCGATGGCCAAGTGGAAATTTAAACGAGTTTTTCCACAGTCACTGAGCAGCTTCCTGAGAAAGTTTTTTGCCTAGGTAATTGAGATTGCAGAATCTACAAATTGATACAAAATTCCAATAGTTTACAGTTAGCGGGGAAGGAATACTATATCCGCCGATATCGCATAGCTCGAAATCAAGCTGAATGCTCTAATTAATTTCGCTACCATCACATTGAATCTTCATTCGTTCCATTCAATACTTTCTACCAGATCAATCTCTTTCTCCAACTTCCCATCTACGGCCTATTGAGCTGGAACCTTTATAATGACTGCCTATTTAAACATGCATAGGCAAAAATATGGCCCATTCCAAAATGCCGCCCATGCATATTTAATAATACGAGCACATTCTCCCCTCTTTCTTGTGGCGAAACATTTCAAATTCTTTGTGAACTGTGTCAACTTTCAATTCTTTTCATCGCATATTTGCATTTGCATAGAGACAACAGCAACACGAGAAGCCGCAGAATTGGGGTTCATTTAACTTAACTGAACGGTTAACCGAGTTCAGCTATTGTTGCGGCAAATTAAATGTGTTGAAATAAATATTTAAGCAACGCCTAATTGCCAAAGAATGGCAGTAAATAAATAAATTTTGGAGTTCTTAAAGGTAGTAAGTGGGTAAGCCAGTTTCAGAATGATGTTAAGTCCCCATAATGGGATATTTAATTACCTTATGAATAAAAATAATGTATAATATAATACAAGTCGTAAGCATTTTATAGGGTATTTAGATTGCGGCTGTCGTTCGGCTTATTAATTCACCTATAAAAGCTGTTTAATATTCGTACCTTTTGCATTTATCAACTAACAACTTAGTCACCCATAAATAATGCTCTTAAAATGGCTATATATCGGTCTGATCTTTATAGTTATTACACCCTTTATTAGCAGTTGTAAGTAGATGTCCGAAATACATTCAAAATCTCTTGAAGTAATAAAATGCTGTTAATTTAGATAGAGTTCATAGAGCTCTTTGCGTTTTGCCTAAACATTCTGGAAAAGGAACATTTTGGAAAATTCGCTGGTACTACGACAGAAATTGGAGAGCCTGTCGTATATTTAGGTTCTACGGAAGACGTGTCAGTGGAAATGGAAACTCAAATAACTTTGCCTCCTGGTGGCAATGCAACAAGAATTGTCCATACATAATATCCGAGAATATTTAAATTGAAAACTGTATTGATCTTATGTATTCATTATGCGATCTTTTCAATACATACAATTTTCAATTACATGTCACGGTAACTATATTTTTCTGTCACACCTGCTGTTGTTTACCTAATACAAATGCCGAAAAAGGAGAATGATTTGAAATGTACAACTTGCACAATATTTGGTTATCATAGGCAATATGGGACAAACAGTTGCGTTTGTTGTATACCACCTGATTTAATAAAGCTCTCTAGCTTGAAGGCAATTGTTGGTGGCATAAAAGTCGTCAATAGCTAATTATTCTTGTTAGTATCAATTGAATCACCATGCTGTTCAAGATATCGTGTCTCCTCGTTCTTTTGGTGCTCTGTCTACAGCAGAGTCATTCGAGTAAGATTGCATTCCCCTGAAATATTGACCTAACTAATCGACCGTGCGATTTTAGCCAAACGCAGATGCCTTAGGCCCCTGCATGTGGGCAAAGGTAAGGCCTATATGCGCAGTTGGTTCTACAACTCCACATCGCAGAGGTGCCAAAGGTTCATCTTCTATGGTGGTGTGCGGAATGGCAACAACTTCAACACCCAAGCTCGTTGTCGCAAAATTTGCCTAACCCAAGTAGTTTTGCCAATTAATTTAAACTCTACTGGTGTTTAAAAAGAACAACGATTTGAATCGAACAATAACTAATAAATGAGACTCAAATGAGACTTACGTTAAGGCAAGTCGAGCTAATTGCATTTTGTGCGAAATCGCTGAGAAAATCAAGTTGATGCTGCGCCCATTTCTGCTGGCAAGAAATATTTCCTATAATTTTAGCTCATATATATTTATTCTTGTTTCTCTTTTGTAAAACTTGTCAGCGCCACCCACTTTCTAGGCAGCGCCACTAGTTCCACAGTGGGTGTCTATTTGCCCAGGAGGTGTTAGGCGGGTGCGCTGACAAGCCAATGGAGCTGCAGCAACAACTGCAGCGACAACAATTGCAGCAGCAGCAACAGCACCAGCACCATCAACGTTTTGCTAAATCAAAATTGACACTATGCAAAAAGCCAACCCACAGAGCGGCAATTGCTGGGGAAAACGGTAGCCGCACACACATAGCCACTCCGTGGAGCACATGGCTCTGGGCCAAGACTTCGGGCCAGGCGCTCAGCATGCCAAGCCATGGAGGCCAAAAGGTGCCCGCTGTCCGTGGCGCCAAGATGTGGCCTCTGTTGTTGCTCTGGCTGCTTTTTGCTGCCTTTGCTGCCTTTGCTGCTCGGCGTTAGATTTCAACCATGTGCAGACAACGGTCGCCACACACAAACGCTGAAAATAGCAGTTATTAGTTTGACACAGCGCACAGTGTGCCCGATGGGGTTTATACAGAGATTGGATGGAAATGCGAGTGTAGTAGTCAGGGAGGTGATAAAATAAGGATTTCAAACAATGAGAAAGTGCGCTATTAAATGGCACTAACGGAAGGTACAAGATGGCCCATCGATCATCTACACTGTCTTATATTTATTTGAATTTTAAACTCTGCGCAGCTCCTAATTTCTATCTTATTTCACCCATTTTCCCACTGTGCCGAAGTAGTCTTGCCATGTTCGAGTGCACCGTGGGCACCACGATGGCACCATTTGCTCATTAAGCATATTAAATAATTAGTACTTGTTGTTGTCATATTTTATGTGCTCGTTGAGCTCACTTGAAGAGGCTTGGCTTGGACAGGGAAATATGGACAAGCACGTAAAGATGGAGATAGGAACATGGACACAGATCGAGATAGATACAGAGCTGGACCAGTTTCCTATGGACGTCCGCCGATCGCTGGCCTTTGCTGGCTTTTTAATTTTTATTTCACCAATAAAACTTGCGAAATATATACGCGGCTTAATTGAGCAGCAATTGATTGAGCAACTTGACAGATACGAAGGTAATCCGGGTATAAATTTAATGGTGAGGACACCAAAATGCAATGGTTATAAAAAGGCAAAAGATAATATTCAATTAGTGTAAATAAAGTGCAGCGAAATTGCTTAACGCAATGTAAATTCTCAGCTAATAATAATGGTGTAATAATTGTGGTCTTAATCCGGAATATTAAAATAAATTGACTGGTCCATTACGTTTTATTTAGATAAAATGTAGATAAACGTACACAATTATGGTAAATGCTCTAACATCATATATATTAACAAAAACTTTCTCCTAAACTTTCTTAGACCACGATTAAATCCTAATCTTAGTTCCAAGTGTTGGAAGACAAGAACTTTACAAGCTTCGTGCGTTGTTTACAACACTTAATGCGTTACTAATGACATTTTAGGCCCTTCAGTCGAAAGACAAGGCGTAAAACAAACAAAATGAATTACATTTGCATGTAAATTTATGCAAATTCCATGCTGTGTTGCCCAATGAACCATTTGACACTTTTGTCCACACACCGAGCGTGCTTTATTAATTATTTATTGTCCAACTATTGTGAATTATGGCAATGGCTGGCCGTGGTCTAGGAAAAAATCGAATGCCTCTCGAGTGGATTGAATTGGGCTTGAGTGAACCAGAGGGAAGTGATCTCTGGAGCTTGGAGCATTTTCCTTTCTTTCTTCGGGGATTTTCGTTTGGGCCTTCGAACCAGTTGAGCGACATTCCATATGAGGCATACGCGACAGGCGGCGACTCCACTTCACTTCACCTCGGACTCAGATTTAGATTCTCAGGCTTGGTCTTGGTTTGGTTTTGGATTTTGGTTTTGGTTTGGTTTCGGTTTCGGAGATGCTAAGATTAATCAGCTGCCATAAGCCAAATGACAAGACATATTTCCATAGCTCCACCAAAAGTGCTAGAGCGCCGCGTTATTATTGCCAGCCTATTTGTGTTTATTTATGGCGGGGCCACAAAATGATACAACACAAAAATCCGAAATTGAAATTAATTTCAAATTTGATTACAATAAAAATAAAGCCGGCGCGGAGCTCCACTTGTGAGTAGCTTTTGATTTACTCGTCCCAAAAGTATGCCACCCCAGCCCCTTTTTCCGTAGGTGTGCCCCGTACAAAAAGCCCGGCCCCACCCAGAAATGCCACGAAAATTTGAAATAAATTTATAGTTTTCTATTTGGAGATAGCTCAGATGGGCGAGTAATTTATGCAAAGTCCCAGCCGGAGAACGGTTATGGCTTCTGCCCAAATCTCTTGTTCCTGTTCCCAACTTGCCGAATTGGGTTACTTTCGGCTTAATTTAAGGTCTTAAGGTTAGGCCAAATTGCGGATGGCCACAAGCCAGCCCACGCCTCTGCAGCCTCTGCTGCCCCTTCTTCATTCCACATACACAGTTCCCCAAACCCCGATCCCCGCAGCTTCCCCAACAAACTGGTTCCGGACCAACAACAATGAATGGAGCTGGGAGCGCGACTCAATGGAAATGACAGCATACGTGTGGCCAAATAAAAGATATACCCGCTGTTCACATATAAAGCTAACCAATGATTTTTGTTCGGAGCGTGGGCGATCCCCTTATTAATTGTGAAAATATATACGTGCGCAGAACGATTTGTTTGCCGACAACCGATAATTCCAGCAATCCCCAACTCACCCACAAGAGTCGAGTGCTGGATTTGAAAGGTCAACTGCAGTAAAGTTTTGGAGGAGTGGTGGGCACAGAAATGTATATATATTTTATGACTCCCAGTTATGCCGCACCGTCGCAGCTTTTTCCTCTAATAATTGCGAATGGCATGCAGACCCACAAAAGACTACCCACACACATTCCGTGTTCACCATGGCCATCGCAGATTTGAATTCCATTTGCCGCTTGGCACATGTATTGTCTTGATTGTATGGAGCCTTGGGATAAAAGATATTAGGAAATTCCCCTATAATTATAATTCTTAAAAGGCTTTTAAAATAACTTTAAATACTCGTAAAGTTGTCTCTAGTTATCTAGTTATCTAGACTTACGCTTATGGAGCTGGAGCCTTCCCAATTTAAAAATATTTATTAAACTATTGAACAATTATATTAAAAGTATTTCTAATTTGTATATTCGACTATGTTCCAGACCTTCGTGCCACTCTAGAGGCCCCTAGCTGATAGACAAAGGATCCAACCCGGAGAGGAACCAACCATGTCGCACAAGACGAGCAACCGTCGCAGCAGCGATCTGGAGTGTCCACTTGCCTCATTGGGCCGCAACAGCAATGCGGTACGCGACCACTACCACCACCCGCATCCGCTGAGCTCCAGTCCGCTGGATCCACAGGCGTACAAGATGATGTCCCGCAAGTCCTCCAATCCCGGCCTGGAGGTGGCTGAAGCGCTGGCCTCGCGCAGCTCCACGCCGCCCAGCGACCAGGCTGCGGCATCCTCGACGGCAGCGGCGGCAGCGGTGCTCCACATGGTGCAGCAAAAAGCGGCTACCTTCGAGTTGAGAGGTCGCCACTCGCGACCAGCTGAGCAGCTGACCAGCTATGCAGCCCATTCCACGGCTTCTGTGGGTAGGCATGCGAAGAAGTCCCCGGAACTACCAGCTGCGGCCTCCAGGAACGTGGCTCCCGTACCCCAGCCGAGGAACTTCCTTACACTGGAACATGTCCTGCAGTTCGGAGCCCAGCGGCCCAGTTGGATGCACGGCAACAGTGCGGACACGGAGGATTCGAGTGACAATAACGCGGGTGGCGGTGGAACAGGAAGTGGCAGTGGTGGAGCCGGAGCTGGAGCTGGGGGACGGAGACGTGCCCAAGGTGGCCGCTGCAGTGTGCCCACTGTACTCAGCAGCAATGGCAGCGGCAGCAATGGAGCCCAGTACCTGCTGGACAAGAAGATGGAGTCACTGTATCTGGGCAACGCCCTGAGAGCCCTTCCCTTAGGCGCCGAAGCGAGTCAGTTCCAAAACGAGCGCTACTACCTGGAGGATTACAGCAGCGGCAGCGGGAACGAGCGACTGCCAGGTGGGTAAACCGTAATCAAAGTCCTAAAATTGTACTAACCCTCATAGCCGGCATATTCCCAGAACGCCTGCATCACCCGCGCACCTCCAGTCCCAGCGAGACGAGTGGTTCGGATCGCTACCTGCTGAACCGGAGCTCCAACTCCAACCACCTGCACTCCAAGGGCCAGAGTCTGTCGGACGGGCTGTGCAACCTGGGTCGCTTCTCGCCCAGCCTGGATCAGGGCTATGCCACACTGGTCTCGCCCTCTCCCACAGGTCACCATTCGAGTGGCGGAGCCGGCAATATGACCAATTCCACCACGGCCAGTGGAGCGGGCATCATGGCTAGCAGTACGCCAACCACAACGCCGCGAAGGGGAGCCTCCAGCAATGGATTGGGAGGAGGACCAGCGCCTGGCACCGCCATTGGACCGCCGCCCTGGAACCGCAAAGGTCCCTTCCGCTGCGGTCCACTCTTTGACCGCTTGCCCGACGAGGCCGTGGTCCGGATCTTCTCATGGCTGGACAGCTGCGAGCTGTGCAACGTGGCGCGGGTCTGCCGTAGGTTCGAGCACCTCGCCTGGCGGCCCATCCTGTGGAAGGTGATCTCGCTGCGGGGCGAGCACTTGAATGGCGACAAGACGCTGAAAATGATCTTCCGCCAGCTGTGCGGCCAGAGCTGCAATGGCGCCTGTCCGGAGGTGGAGCGCGTCATGCTCGCCGATGGCTGCCGCATCTCGGACAAGGGTCTACAGCTCCTCACGCGCCGCTGCCCCGAGTTGACCCACCTCCAGCTACAGACCTGCGTGGGCATCTCTAATCAGGCGCTGATCGAGGCGCTGACCAAGTGCAGCAACCTGCAGCATCTGGATGTGACAGGTGAGTAGGAATAGCTTATTGGATCTCGGATCTTTTAGGGCGAAATTGATCGAAATTAGACCTTTCAAAAAATAAACAGCACTTAACCATTTGAAATACATTTTATTAATAAGGCTGCAGCCAGGTGAGCAGCATCAGTCCTAATCCCCACATGGAGCCACCGCGTCGCCTGCTGCTTCAGTATCTGGACCTTACGGACTGCATGGCCATCGATGACATGGGTCTGAAGATTGTGGTCAAGAACTGCCCCCAACTGGTTTACCTTTATCTGCGGCGCTGCATACAAGTCACAGGTGAGGTGGAGTGGATTACGCTTATAATACCGTATGAATAACTTTGTTTTCCATATGAAATAGATGCGGGTCTCAAGTTCGTGCCCAGTTTTTGCGTCTCGCTGAAGGAGCTCAGTGTGTCCGACTGCCTGAACATCACGGATTTCGGATTATATGAGTTAGCCAAGCTGGGAGCGGCGCTCCGCTACCTTTCCGTGGCCAAATGCGAGCGGGTCTCGGATGCGGGGCTAAAGGTGATTGCCAGGCGGTGTTATAAATTGCGCTATCTGAATGCTCGGGGATGTGAGGCCGTGAGCGATGACTCCATTACGGTCCTGGCGCGATCCTGTCCACGTCTGCGAGCTTTGGACATAGGCAAGTGCGATGTGAGCGACGCCGGGCTTCGAGCTCTGGCCGAGAGCTGTCCAAACCTGAAGAAGCTCAGCCTGCGCAGCTGCGACATGATCACGGACCGCGGGGTGCAGTGCATCGCCTATTATTGCCGCGGACTCCAGCAACTGAATATTCAGGACTGTCCGGTGTCCATCGAGGGCTACCGGGCGGTCAAGAAGTACTGCAAGCGCTGCATCATCGAGCACACCAATCCGGGATTCTGTTAAGATGCCCCATAACTGGCGGGAGCCACCACAAAGCACAGAGGCAGGCCATATGAGCACACATGAAGGGATTTGATGGGCAACGAATACTCTTGAAATAGAAAAAGTGCCAGGCAAATTTTAGCCCCAACCACACGGACTTTTGGGATACAAGTCCTCAAGTTATAGTTCAATGATTATCCACTCAAAAGGAAGGGAGCTTAACAGGGTATCTATTGGTTCGGATATTATCTATCCAAAAAGTATATCTTAACTTTAAATAGTTCTCTGAAAACTTGCCACGACTTTGCCAGAGCTAAATAAGTTTATTGTAAATTGTATATATCAAACCGACGCAGGACAGGACTAGCGTAGCATAGAGCATGTTCATCAGACTATGTCTAAGTAGACTAATTCTTGGAGTAATAAATTATTTTCCCCACCAGAAGTGGTTCGGTTCAGTGCTTGGCTTTTGTCTTCTTCGACTTGCTCCTCAGACCTTCGAAAATGTTGGGCTTCAATTGCGGCACATGGTCAAGGATGTACGGAGGATGTACGTCCATCAGTTCCCGCGTGTAGAGGGTTCCGTGCTTGGTCCTGCGCAGCCTATCCAATTTGATGGTGGCTTTTATTGACGGCTTCGAACCCTGCGCTGACTCCACAAATGGAGTAATCTTTATGTTGGTGCAGTGCCCCCGCTCCAAATAGTTAATGGTAGCCATTAGGGAGTGGATATCAGCGATGACGGACGAGGTCTGCTCGTGGATTCCTTGCAGGGCTTTCAGATTGGCATTGATCCTGGCCAGCCGCTTGTCCACAGGGGATAGAGTCTGGGGATCGCAGCCCTTTTTCTGTTGCGGAACTGAGTACTTGGTGAACTGGTCTCCGTTGGTCCTTGGGGGAGCGGGTATCTCTTTGCATGGCTTGGACACCAACTGCTCCGACACCTCCATCAGACGCACCTGCTCCTCCAAGGTGCTCATGGGCAGCTTTCGTATTATGCGACGCAGTTGCTTTTTCTTCTTGGGCGAGAGGAGGTGCTTGTGCTTCTGAAAGCGCTCCACCCCGCGGTGCAAGTTCTCCATCATCTTTATCCAATCGTCCATGCCCTTTCCCTCCTCCTCGATTTCATTCTGGAGCCTTAAGCGCTTGGACCGAAAGTGGCGCAGTTGACGTTGCAGCAAGTGCACCCGATTCTGGTCAGCCAAGTGCTCACGGACCAGATGGTCGTATGCCTTTTTCCAGTTGGGTTCCTGAGTCATTGGCTAAACTAACTAATTTTGAATTTTTGAAAACGATATCTGACGAATACAGTGATGCTATCGATAGCAAAGTAGTCGTCATTTAGATATTTCGTTGCTCAAGAGAACGTAGTATCGATAAGTTTATTTCGATGTATAATATCGGTTAGTTAGATTGTTAGATAGCTATCGATGAAAGCCGTGTACCATCCCCACTTAATCAGCTGTTTTACTTGCCTTTCGCCGCCTGTTAGTTTGTAAATATCTGGAGTAAAAGCTAAAATTTAGCTGGTAGCTAAATAAAATTATAGAAAACTATTTCAAATTAGGCGTTGAATGTTATGTACACCTGTCTTTAGAAAAGCGCCTGTTGAATAAGACAATTGAAACACTGGGGGCCAGTACGGTGTTGCGTAATTTAAGCGACACGTTTTTTAAGACCCAAAATTGAGCTGTACACATAGAGTGCCGGAGATTTACGTACGAATCCCAGGAAGTACAAGAAACCGACGGCATGGCCAAGTATATCGCCCAGATCATCGTGTTAGGCGCCCAGGCAGTGGGAAGAGCGTTCACCAAGGCGCTGCGCCAGGAGATCGCCGCATCCCAAGAAGCCGCGCGACGTGCTGGTGGTGGCAGGCAAGGCGAAAAGAGCGCCGAGTTCAACCTGCGCACAGGTATGTTTAGTGCAGTCATCCTATATATTTCGTTATTCATACCTGCTTTTCCATGCAGGCATGACGCTGGAGGAAGCCAAGCAGATCCTGAATATAGATGACCCCAAGAACGTGGACGCCATCATCAAGAACTACGAGCACCTGTTTCAAGTGAACGAACGCGCCAAAGGCGGTTCCTTCTACATCCAGTCAAAGGTTTTCCGGGCGAAAGAGAGGCTGGACCATGAGATTAAAGCCCGGGAGCAGCCGAGGTCTTCGAAGACAGAAGCGGCGCAAGAGACGGAGGAGGAGTCCCAGAGCAGAGCGCGGCAGCGGCGCTAGGTAGCAATGTTGCCTCCAATCGAACTAATTAGCTGATATTTGATTTAAAAACTACGTGTTAAGTACAAAAAACGAAAGTCTGTTGCTGTAAATAGAGATTTACGAACATGAAGTCAAGTGTAATCACTTTGCTACATGAGGCTCACTTCCCGGGCTCACAAATCTAATAGATTTCGTGTAGTTTAACACAGATTTGCTCAGGTGGTTAGGTATAAACATATTACCCTTAAGCCAGCTAACTAAAATTCGATCAACGTTCTTAAGATTTAACTTGTAGGGGCGTGAAAATAAAAATATTTTAAGCATCTAGAGAGTTCCGTACATTGCTCTAACTTTATTAAGTTTTACTAATGTAAGTAAAATAGAGCTGCAATGTGATTTCTTATTTGGGAAATAGGAACTTGTAAAATTTGAATTTTACCATCAGCTGGTGCAGAAGCTAGAGATGCAATAGCATATCGATAAGCTGCGCAGTTATCGAGCTACGTCAGTCAGCTGTTCGATGGGCAGCACTGGCCGACAACCAACCGAAAATATTCATTACTGGTGCGCAGTTGTTGTTTCCACGGACGTGTCAATTGTTTGTCTAATTGCGCCAGCAGCAGCAAAGCGACGCCAAAACACACATGCGCATTCCAGCGCACAGACCGCCCACCCACGGAAATCGCAATACCATCGCCCCAGCAACGCGGAGGAGGGGGTGGACTCCACTTCCAGGGAGAAAGCCAACGCACGCATACAAGAATCTGAACTGAATCTGAGAATACCAATCCGAATCCAAGAGAGCCAAGACGACACTCCAGCTCGGTATTTGAGCCATCGACATTCCGCTGCTCCGTCAGTTTTCAGAGGACCTTCGAAGTGGGCAGCCGAAAATCCAAAAGTCTCCTGGCAGCGAGCGAAAAACCAAAGAGAAAAAATAAGCAAAGCTAAATCTAGTTGGCAGAGAAAAGCTCAAGTGGTAATTGGCTGCGACTCAAATTACTTTAGTTGTGAAAATAGCGAAAAACTATTAACCAAAAACAAAAGAAACTCGAGCGTGGCGTGTGTCCATGTGGAAAATCGATCGAATCGCAGAGTATTTATCGTGTAATTGTGCCCAATAGCCACGCAATTCCCAGTCCGTTTTATTGATTTTCCCCACCGCCTCGCCAAGTAGCAATAAAAGCCATTCTTTTCCCTTCCATCTCGACCATCTGTCCAACCCAATTGCAGCGTGCAAAATTCAAATTTCAAGTTAAATGCGAGAATTTACATAACGCCGAGCGTTGAAAGTGAAACTTCTGTGGTGCGAACGAAACACTGAAAGAAAGGAAACCCCATTACAGGACATTCTATCTCTGCCCCTGCCCAGTGTAGTAAAAGTTGGAGCGCCAGGAGCGGGAGAGCAGTGGAAGACCGTGAGAACCGTGAGAGCAAGCGAACCTAGAGAGCGTTGAACGTGCGCACGTCTTCCCAGTCAGGACACACCACCAATCCTTGAAAGAATCAGCAGGAGCCAACATGTTTTCGGGCCTAACAAATCAATTCACCTCGCTGGTGGGCGCCGTTAAGGGAGGCGCTGGCGATGAGGATGTCCCTGCGCCCACAGGAGATGCGCCCGCGGCCGCTCCAGCAGCATCCACATCCGTGGAGGCTACAGCCTCCTCCGCTGTGGATCCGGAGGCAGCAGCCGCCGCCGGTGGCGAAGGACTCGAGGGCGAGGAAGCTGGCAAAAGGTGAGTGTGAATCGTACAGTGCGCCCTGGGTAATCCTTCGGCCCATCTTTCTAGTCTTCCGTGACTGTGACTCCGAAATCCTGACTTTAGTCGACCTGACATGGCGTGCCAAAGTGACCTTGCTATTTGTACCTTTTAACATTTCGCCCGATGGAGCTCCTGCCCTCCTGGCAATTGCTCCTTCACGGCACATTCATCATTGTTTTGACACACTCCGTTTATCCTGCATTCTACGTTGCATTCCGCACGCGCTGACGTGACTGAACATAATTGCTTAAACTGAAATCCAAATGCCCGATAATTTCGCTCCCATATATATCCTGTATGGCTCCGTTTCCTTTCGAAGAAGTTGCCTTTTTTCCCTGAACATTTATGGCTAGCAATTTCGATTTAAAAATGCAAAGAAAATGGCTTTTAAATGATTCGTGGAACGGCGAATTGCGGCTGGCTTTTTAATTGTTCAAATGTAGGGGTCTTCTGTTAATTCAAATATGGACTTTAAGCTTAAAGGTGTCTCATATATATTTTTGTTATTTAAATAGTCACAGAAACTTCGTTGAGCTGACATATGTATTACTTTGTATGCAAGTACCAATCGAAATTATTTGCCCTAATTCTGTTGACCAAAGGAAATTCCTTGAACTGTCAAAAAACGGAAAGGAGCAACTCTATGCTTACAAGCTTCCGACAGTTTTCTTCGTCTCCTTCGCTTGGAATGACTGATAGTACTGCCCTATTTCTTTTCGACCTCACCGTATCATTTGACCTCGTCCCCCTCGCTTCCTCAGGGTACTTCATCAATCTCTGGGAAGCATTCCACACCCAACTTTTGTTGAGTTTCATTTAACACACAAGAGGGTAAGCAATGGTTACTGCCGTTTCAGCCTTCGTTTACGGAAATAAATGAAAGTAAATTCCAATTATCCGGCTGAATTTTGGACAAGTTAAGCCCGATGCGATGGCCCCTTAATGCCACAAGTTGCAGGCTAATCCTCAAGATCAGCCAAAGTCAACTAACGTTGTTTTTCACTTAATTCAGCTCATTAATATTTAATTGTGCGAGTGTGTGCTGGATGCCAGGATGTCAATCCGCGGCACGTTTTTCCAACCAGCTGCTAACAGCTGGTGTAGTCGTTGTCGTCGTTGTTGTCTTTGAAACCCAAGTCCGTGATGTGTCACGCCTTTTCAACGGCCCGCCGTTCTCCTTCCGCCCCGCAAGTCCTTTCACTATCAATTGACATTGACGAGTTGGACCACCTTCGTGTTGTTCTTTGTATCTCGTCTTTAGGTTACTCGTTTTGTTTTTTGTACGTTCCAATGAAAATAATTTGCACGTGGCTCCTGCATAACCACAAAATGTTGAGTCATTCGAGCTGGCGGCTGTCCCTCCGCCGCGCTCGGCTGCTTTCAGCACTCGTACACTCTGGCTTTTTGACCATCTTTCTGTGTGCGAAATACTGTCACCCATGTCGTGGGGGAGGTGGGGGGGTGGAGTGTTTCAAGGGGGCGGACTGGGAGGCAGGAGGCAGGAGGCAGGATGTGTTCCTTTTGGTGGTTGCTTTCCAGTTTCCAGTTGACTTTTGCTCGTTTTGCGGATCGATACGAGAGAGCCGCGGGAAAGGACGCTCTATGCTTCTCTCTGCGAAATGTGCACATGTGATGTGGCCACAGCGAGTAGAAACGACGTTGTTGCCCGCTCTGGAGGATTTGCTACTCCTCCTCCGCCTCTTTTCCTCCTCCTGCCCCGCCCCCTTGTTGTCCTTTTGTCAGCCTATTTAATAATTGTGCATTCAGAAAACGTGTGTGCTGGCTTGTTGCCTGTCTTTACGCCTGTCCCCCTGCCAATGTCGTTTTCATTTCCTCGCTCGCCAATCAGCGTAAATCTCTATAATTTTCAAGGAATTAATTTATTTAATTTTCGCTGTCATGCATATTGAGTTGCTCATATTGCGAAGGGGCGGGAATTTAGCCCAAAAATCTGAAAATACCCCATTAGGGCTGCCCGAAAAAGTAGGCTATGCCGGAGTAAGAAGCGAATGCATCGCCACCCATTAGTCAAGCCCTACCAATCTCCACCTGTACATGCGCTTCCTCGCTCCTTTTCTGATTTTTTCTCTGCCTTCGCCAGGGCCAAAGTTGTTGGCGCTTTCAAGGACATTTGCACTATTTGCACTTGCTCTCTGCGAGTGTGTCTGTGTGCGTGTGCCCTTGCCTTTGTTGCTAAAATTATGCCAAAATAAAATGAAAACAAATACGGAGCGAAGCGAACTGAAAGGGTACGTGTTACATTTCATCTTGCGCACAAATTGCTTGGCAAACAAGCTGGACAAAGCAAAAGTACGCAATGCATTCTTAACGTCGCTTGACACAATTTACTCACCAACAATAACAGCAACTCTTGATTGCTGGCAAGAAGTTGACATGCCAGTCGGGTCGGGTCATCATTAGGCACACATGGAGCAAGGCGAGGGCAAACAAAAGTAAAGAATTAAATATCTGCACATGTCGCTTGGTGCTGGCCTGATTGAAATATGTTCTCTATATGTAAATAGGTATGCCGAGTTCTATTCAAATTATATAAATATTACATTTGTGCCAATCCAAGTCCGGCTGAGACTTGCCTTCCCTTTTCTTTTACCTTCCGCCCACCTGGAGACGGCAAACATAATAAAATCAAAGCAACGGCCTCAAAATAAATAAATAAATACGAGTCGGGCGAAATGGAAAACCCACAGAAATTTATCGAGCGACATTTGGCCTCCCGAACTGAACACACACATTTCCCAAGGATATAAAAATATAAATAACAGAAAACGAAACGGTCGGCGGGAATCCAATTGAAACGCTGCCAAGCCGAATGCAAAAAACCCCACAGGCTACTTAAATTTAAAGGCGGTATTAAAATTTCATGTCAAGGCAGGACACCGCCGGACACATCGCCATTTGCCAGGACATCGCGTGGGCGCTAACGACGCCTTGTGTCCGAGCGCTCGCCATTTGACATTTGCCAGCCAAATTAACGCCCTGGCCCCAAAAGCAGCCAAACAATCTCTGTGGTCAGCACCTCCTCCTCCACACGCTGCAATTTCTGTTCGGTTCAGCAGGACCTTAATTGCCGCCTGCGCCCTGGGTGGGTCCTGTCCTGAAACTATTTGTTTTGTGTATTTTTTCAGCTGTCGCTTTTAATTCAATTTATTCAATCTTTTTCTGGTGCGGCATGGTGTGCTTATTGTTTGCACCACGAATTAATATTTATGCCTTTGGGTATTTGCTACGTGCTAAATCATTCGCCCCATATAAATAGTAATTTTTATGTAAATTTGTTGTTTGCCACACGAGTTTTTCAGCGCCTAATTGCTGGCCAGCGAATTTCCCACGCCCACTCAATGAAAAGGGTTGATTAACATTGCGTGCCTTCAATTTCCAGAATGATTAATACTTCATTTAGTAATACTATTCTATTTTTAGTGATTTTTCATTCATAAAACTTGATAGTTTTAATATAAATAAAGCCAGATATTTATACCCGTTACTCGTCTGATGACGATGCAAAAATTAAAAAAAAATTTCCCAAGGCTGAAGTTCTATACACCATAATTCAACTTATCTTTATCGGATTTTGATTCTCTAAAACTCTGCATTCAAACTTAAAAATTAATTTTTTTGTAATTTTTTTTTGATGTTATGCTGTTGAAGAAATTCAAAAAATTAAGAAATGTCCCAAGGCTTGAGTTCTGTGCTCCATAACTCAACTTATCTTAATCGGATTTGAAAGTGGCATATCTCTAAATGTTTCTGGCGCAATTCTCTAAAAATATTAATCTTGATCAGTATCAATAGCTGAGTCGAACTGGCCATGACCGTTTGTCCGTCCGCCTGTCCGTATGAACGCCATGATCTCAGGAACTACAAAAGCTAGAATGTTAAGATTAGCATGCAGCTTCCAGAGACCTAGACGCAGCGCAAGATTGTTTCCAAATGTTGTCACGTCCACTCTAACGCCCACAAATCGCACAAAACTCTCACACGCACACTTTTAAAAAATTGTTAAGGTGTTTTTTATTGTATTACTTTTTCCCCAATTTCTACCGGTATTCCAAAAAATGTTTAAATTTCTCGTTTGCACTTCCACAAGCTGAGTAACGAGTATCTTATAGTCGGGGAACTCGACTATAGCATTCTCTCTTGTTTTTATTATAAAAATTATTCTTAATAACTTGGTATTTTTCTGCATTTGCCATCTATTTCGTGATGTGAAATGTAGATAATTGGCCACGCAGTGGCTCCACTGCTAATCAGAGGCCATCAAAGTGCCCAATCAGCTTAACACCGATTTTTATAGATCCACCTTTTGACCCCGACACGTTGGTGCTGTTCGTGCCACTTCTGCCACACCAATTGGCGGTCAATTATGCCGAAAAGCAAAGTGGGCCAGAGGTCTTGCCAAACGGATTTTTATGGCCCTGCACGCAGGAGCAGTGAAACCGAAATATCGGCAAAAATAAAATTTAATGCTCCTCGTAAAGTGACCCCCTAAGTTGGCCAAGGTGCGAACGACGCAGATGGACCATCTGCCTGGCCCGATTTAAAGCGCAATGAAATCAGGACACGGCAGGAACATATGGAAATGTAGGAAATCGGGTGGGAAACATATGTTAGCAGTTGGTCTTTTGCTCGAATAAAGATAAATGGAAGTCCGCAGGATGGGAAAGTGCACGACCGGAAGTCAACTAAAGCGAGGCAAGGCAACCGGAAGGCCAGTCACTGGTAAAAGTCTTTGTGCTGCTCGAGCCCATCACGATAATGTTGCCATGTTTCCATGTTGCCAAGTTGCTGGGCCTGCTCCAGACGCAGACGATGATAAAGTCGCGTTAAGAGCCAAGACAAGCGCTGGCAAAACATAAATATTAACGGAGCGCGGAAGTGACAGGCCAACCGGGTAATGGCAACAAACGATGCAACAGACGCGGGAGGAGCCACATCCGGAGAACAGGATGCGTGGGATTTTGTGTGTGCGTGTGTTTGGGTGGGCGCAGCACGCACACACATAAAAGCCAGCGGGCAGGTCTCGCAGGACCAGGACTTGCGTCAAAGTAGCAAATTACGGCGTATCGTAAAAACGGCAGCCAGACTACGTGCTTTGTTTCTATTTCCCACTGTCCTCGCAGCATGAGAAATGCTCTGCCAAAAACTTTGGTGGATGTCAGAAGGCTGGCATCCCTATATTTATGGCCGCGAGTGTGCGACTGGCACGTCTAAACTTCGAAAACTAGCTTTCATCTGGTTGAGTGGCTTAAATTGTTTGTTTGCAATCTATGTGTTGCATCCTTTTGGAAAGATATCTTAATGAAATGGTAAAAAGGGATTTAAAATTTTGTAATTTTATAATAAACTGTATTAGTTGGCTTTTAAGAATATTAATATTTTAAACTGAATCCAAGTTCCCTGGATTATCTGTTTAAACGCCCCTCATCTGCGCCACTTTGTAGCAGTGAGTGCACATTTCCAGTGCTTATCCAACTAAGCAAATGGTTGTAGATATCACACTTCATTCCCCCTCGTCCGTAATCCCTGTTGGGCTCCTGTCAGTCACAGTCATAAAGCCAGTGGTTCCAGCAAATAAACCGCCTCTTCAGTAATATTTAAAATTTACATAAAACCCGCACGCTCTATAAAATACCAAACAAAAAAAGAATAATACAGCCGAGCAAAAGTAGAAAACATCAGCGTTTGATAAGCCACCCACAAGATGGAAACATTTGAGACTGCGAGGGTTGTATTTGCATTGCGTTAATGGCAGCTCTGTTGCCAGTGCTAATAGCCAGACCCAATTGCTCATATGTCTGGTTCTGGCCCCCATTCTGATGTGGTGTGTGATGATTTGGTCGAGTGTAAAACACATAGCCCCAAGCTTTCACAACGGCCATTTTGTTTTGTGCTGTGCTTCATAAATTTCTGCCTGGCTCTGCAGTTGAAATTTATGGCTGGGCTTTTTCGGGCTCCTGCCTAATCACGGTGACGGGGCGTATACGTAATGCCGAGTGTAGGTGGCGTCCAACAGGACAACTCATTGTCTCTGGGCATCAATTCAGGTCTTTTATTGGCGGAACAGCCTTTGGCTGGCTTTTGTTTCCCGCTGGCCTAATGCAATTCCGTGACTGAAAGTGGCGCAAGAAACGTGTATGAAAAACACGCGTAATTCAATTTCAGCCTTGGAAGCTGCAGCGGCAAGATGGCTGGGGCTGGACTCCTTTGGCAGCCACGTCGCCAAGAATTCAATTTTCGGTTTCGGATGCCGCCACCCGCGAAGCAACGTTAACGTGCGCAATTAATTCTGTCAACAACAGGCTTCTAAACGTCTACGAAAATGGCTCGTGGCCATGGTTTTTGCGACACGTTTTTCTACGTCGCGCAATTTGCAATTTAAATGGTACACCAGCAGCGGTACAAAACTGCCATTTCAACTCTTTCGGGTTAGGTCCTCGATTTTAATCCAATTTTGGGGACCTTTTTTGGGGAAATAATATAACTTTTAATGAGCATGGCTTGTGATTTGGACGATTGTAATCAAGTTTCCCGGGAAGCAGTATCCTTGAAAGTTTTCCCCACGGCTTTTCAATAAACAAAATTACTCAACTTCACTGCTAATGACATTATCCAATCTTATATTTTCGCTTTTCGCAGCTTTCAAGCTCCCGATAACGCAATCCTTTAAGTGAAAATTCACACATTCCATGGCTGTACGTGACAGGCAAAACCATTTACTTAGCAAATTTTCGTGCCCAACGGCCTGCTTAAAAGGTTTCTGACTTTATCTACAAATGGCTGTCAAACTTTTCCGAGCGATATTAAAGCCTTGCCTCCCCTGCTTTTTGGATGAAACTTTTTACGGTTTCAACGTTTATAACCAGCAGCCCTTTTCTATCTGAGGAATATCGATTTGGATGTACGTATGGCCAGGAAAATACGTTAAAGAGAAGGTATTTCCACTTACGGACTTGACAGCAGTGGCCGCATACCGGAGTCAAAGCATTTCTTAATTAAATGCGACCTCCGCCTGCGACCCTTTTGCATTAGCTCAGGGTCAACCCATCCTGCCATATTGCATCTTTCATTAAATCGGCTCGATGCTGTGGCTGTAGTGGTGAGTGGTGCAATTCATGCTTTCACCGATTCATTGATTCATTCATTCATTCATTCGTTGATTCGTCTGTGACTCAGCACGTCGTGTGTTGTGCAAGTTGGCCGTTAATTGAAAATCGCAAACGGCTTAGTCCTTCCATTTGACTCTGGCTCTTCAAACAGTTTGCTTTGTAATTGAGTAATGAAATATGCCAAGTCACACACTGCGAAACGAACACAGTTGCGCCTGCATAACAATTAAGATAATACGACTAGGGGGCCAACGAAGTGACAGTGAGAAGGATTGCTGCGGAATGTGTGCTTAAGGTCAACACGTTGCTGCATCGTGGCGCAGTCCTTGGATGCTTCATCGCAGGGTGCGGCAGTCGGGATTACGCGGCGTATGAGCAGCATTCGTTGCCAATTCGAGAGCACTAAAGGCGGCAATAAAAAACTGTTGCCTACTTAGCGGGGCTTATTTCCAGAATGTATCCATATTGGTCCATATGCTTATTGATTTCGCTTCTATAAGACCATTCTGTGTGTATACTTGTTTTCGTACTCCTCCGACCATCCACTATCCGTATGCTTGGGTCGGCTCCAATCATATTCCACTTGAAGGGCATGCATGTTTTGCTTTCTTTATCAAGCGCAATAACCCATTATTATCTCATTAGTTTCAGGCATAACCTCGTCAAAACTAACGCTCTGCCATATGTTCCCAAGTATTGGTGTTGCCATAAGTGGAGCAACCAAATGCAAACAGTGCAGCGTGCACTGAGTGCCGGAGCTCACAACGTGGCGTATACTTAATTAGCCTTATAATGAATGCCATGTTATGTAAAAGGACGCAGGAAGGAAACTCGCGAAGGCGACGATCCTTGCTGCTGCTGCTGCTGCTGCTGCTGTTGTTGCGGCTGACAATTTGCCATAAACATGTTGGTGGGCCGCGAAATAGAGGGGTGCTAGATGAAATGCAGAGCTTCGCTTAATTGAATAAAATTTTCAGTTGCCGCTGAATCGGTTGCCATAAATTACGCATGGGCCACTCCCCAACATTGTCGCTCCAGCAGGAGCAGCAAAACACCACCCACATCCCTCACTGGTTGGCCTTGCTTGCATGCATTTTGTTACATTACGTATACGCGAAGTGCGCCAGCTTAGACTTTTATCTTGGTTGCCCTTTGCAAGTTGTATGCCGTACGAATACGAGTGCTGTTGTTTTGCTATTCAGGGTCTGTATCCTGTATACAGGACATGAGCCGCAAACTGTATGGCATTTTCATTGGGTCAAGGTCAGAGTACGATTTGCATTTTTTTTTCTCCCCCACCTGCCATTCGATACGATTCGATTGGTATTGTTTATCTATACAGTGCTGCTGTCCTTGTCGGCAAATTGCTACATAAATATCTGGAAAGCATCTACACACAATTTCCCCGTTGAGTTGATTTATGTTAAGAAATTCTTTTTCTCCGCTCAGCTGGATACTTGCGAATCTATATGTACGACTGGGCCACGGGGTCCGCTTGAGCGTGAACTTTGGACTTTTATTTCGCTTTCATGTTGCGCCCGGTCCCGTTTCGCATTTGTAATCATATCCTTTGGCTTAATTAGAGGGTCAGGTCAGGAAGCATTTTAGTTTGGCTGGGCGTTTCGCAGGCTTTTCTGCCCCAACGGTTGCCCTGCCCCAACTCGAAATGATCTAATTAATTTGCCTAACACATTCAAAATCGCTCGTGATATATATCTTCATTAACTTAGCAAACTTTTCACTCTTTTTGCAGGTAATTATCCAAAGGCCGAACAAAACCAGACGAAAATTTAGTTTGGGACGGAGGAAGGAAATTAAATAAATTTATCAGGGCTTGCCAAACAAACTCGGCGGGTAACAGAAAATACCATTTCCATGTTACTTTTACTTATTTGTGTAGTTGGTTTTCGTTTAATCCAAACCTGTTTTAATTTACCTAATTGCGAACCCTTCTTGATTCTATTTTTATTTATTTTGATTTACATTCTCATAATTTCTTTTAGACTGCCCAAGTCCACCTCCCTGGTTGATTCATTAGTAACCGAAGCCACGTAAGTTCATTTCGTTTTATTTTTATATTATTATAAGTTTATACTTTCGTAATTATACCTAATTAGAAGCCATTATCCCACTTCTTGGGCCCCAACAATAAACTATTTACCTTTTTTTTCCAACACAGTAAGGGGAAAACTTTTGTTCGCAGTCGTAAAATCATTAGCACAGAAACTTTTTCTCGAACTGAGCCGCGACCACGCCCATTTGGGCCATCAAATCTACCTTTAGAGGGCTAAAAGTAACTAGAAGGGCTGAAACCAAAATCGCCGAGCGAAGTCACATAGCTCGCACAAATTGCTTGCCCGTTGGCTACAAAAGTTGAAGTAGAAGCCACTTTCACATGTGTAGTGACACTTTCAAGAGGACTCGGGGGTCCTTGCAGGTTGGCGAAACTCTGCCAATCGCCGTGGGAAATTCGAGTCGCAAATGTAAGCGCTCGCCCACGTGTTGAGCATTAACTGGCCTTTGTTGGGAGCCCCGTCTTTGATATTCATTTCAAGTTAATTCATCTCAATCAGCTTAAATATCAAGCTAAATAATTCATTTGCATTTTCGGGGCGTGCTCGCCGCGTATAATTAATGCGCATAAAATTCCCAACACTTTGCACCTTTTTGCTACCGGTTTATTTCCGCCACGGGCCTCTGAGCCGCCCCCTGGGCTTTTGGCACACTCACTTGCCATTAAGTTTTTTGATTGAGCGGCAGGACCTTTGCAATTCAGGAGCCAAAGCCCTTGGCAACAATTGTCCCAATCCTTTGCCGTGGGATGTTTATCATTTCGGGGACTGTGCCATTAAATTCGGAGCTATAAATAAATGCGTGTATATCCCTAAATTGAAGCACGAAACAGTTAATCACGAGCCTAGGGATATCCTGCCATTGATGAAGGTAACTTGTTTGACCGTCTATATTTCTATATTTCTCGTCTGACGTTTTCAATCAGAGCCCGCACTTCTGTTGCTGTCTTGTTGAAAAGAACATAGTTGTCTGGCAAACAAATGTATATTTTATTATATATTTTTATTCTAGTATATTAATTTTGTATACATATATACCTTGGCATAATATTATTTTGAACTGCACTTTAAATATTAGATACAAATGGCTTTATACGCGCATTCAGCAAGCATTAGCAAGGGTAAAATCCCTGAAAAAGGTTTGTTTTTGAAATAATAAACAAAAACTCCATTGGCAAGTATCCTGAAAATACGACAAGTGAAGCAAAAAGGACTCTGAAGAGCTGGGTATTAATCCTTTCGGTCCACCTGTCATTTGCATGCAGAATGGTATTTTTCCTTCCGCCTTCCTATTTTTAGACGTTTCCGGCAACTTTTAGTCTAATTAACCTTGCTCAACCGCATTATGTGGGTTATCCTTGAGAGCGGGGCTAAATTCATTTCCAACTCTACTTAAATTGATAAAGTGTCCAACCTCTCACCTTTTAAAATCGTCATACTCGTAATATTTTGATGGGACTTAACCCAAACAGCTATGGATATTTCTCCTAGACTTGCTTTGATGATTATGCTTCTTTGTCGTATTCCCGAGCTTATCGCAGTCGTTCCTTTAAATGTATAAGCTTAGGTGGTCGTTGCCTTTAATGTTGAATGCTCGGTAGTTGCGACAGCCATTAGGCAATCATATTAAGTGGTTTAGACCGGGGGAATGTGAACAAGGCGCCTAATTATTCTAGTACGATAATGTTCAAACGGTGGTTGCTGTTATTGTTTAAGTTGTTTGGTTTGGACCGCGAAACCTGCGGGACGCACTTGTTTTGGCCGTAATTAAACAAGGCATAAGTCAAACGAGCCAAACTTGGGTCTGCTGCAGAAAAAAGGCCCTTTTTATAATCAGCACAAAGTTGGTTTGCTTTTGCGCCATTGTGGGCAAACGGATTTGGCAATATATTAGCAAGCGGCCATTCCGACCGCTTCCGTTGATTGGGCCAATTCCCCCCGCAAAGAGTTTCAATCTCTGTTAGCCAGTTTGTTCATCAATTCCCGCTTTGAATAATTTATTCTGGGCATTTTGCCTCGACTTGCGTTCTCCCATACAGTGGTCTGCATGAATATTTGATAGGCCACTTTCCACCAGATTTTTATGTTTGCGCAGCTCACTTTAATTGAAAATAAAATCAAATAAAAACCACCCAAAAAGTAAATAAAGAAAAGGGAACCATAGGAAAACGCGGAAGAAAAGGCAATTTTAAACGCGATATGAAAATAGAAATCGGCCGAGCATGAAAAGTCAAATGTCAAATGGCGAAATCGTAAGGAAGGCAATCGTGCCGATGGATGGATGACTCACGTTAATGCAGGCGTTTAATGTTGCGTTCATCTTTTATTAATAGCCACACATGACCATGATTATGTAGATGTCCTGCCCGCGGCAACCTGCACCCCGCCACTACCAATTTCCCGCTTGTGGCTGCTTTCCTGTGCTTTCCCGTCTCCCTCTTCATGGACGGGCTTATCCGCCTTCTGTTTACCTGCTCGATGGTAATTTGTCAAATGTGGATTTTTCTCGGCGCTACTTTGCTGGCTGTTGCGCCTCTGACAGAGTGTGGCATTTGCTAAATGGCGAGGGCAGCTTTAAGAGTATCGCAAAATCCGCATTCCAGCCACAAAGTTATGGTAGTTTCCCCAATATGGCGAAGTCGGGTTTCCCCCCAAAACCCTGGCCAATATGAAACAGTTTATGAAATACAATAGTTAAACTGAACTCCAATTCGTGACTGTTGTACCGCCTCTCAGCATAAGCCTACCCTGGGTGGGGTTTCAGATGAAAATGATGATGGCGGAGATCCTTTGGCGGCTGATGGAGTGGGGAAAATGGAAGCTCAGCAGGTGCCTTTAGCCGGGTATCATTTCTTTTTGCTTTATACACGCATTTAGCTTTACTTTCCCTCGCATTATCCACGGCGAATGTAATAAATTTCCTATAAGCATTATCTTTAAATACGGGCCATTGTGTAGCAGCAGCAAAGCGAAAGGGAAGGGGAAGGGGAAGGAGCGACGGGAAGATGGAGGGCTCAACATGACAACGGATTGTGTTGCCATGGTCTTTAGTTATGGCCCATCAGCTATCAGCTCAGCCGTTCGTGTCTTGTTCCGATTTAGACCCTTTGAAACTGGATAAATCTCAACTGGGCGCCAACAAAATCTCAATCCAATTAGAAAATTCCAGTAAAAGGGGGACATGCAATACTTCATAGTACTCCAATTAACGACTGCAATTAAAATGGCCAATTCGCTAGAAGAGCCGTGGAAAAGAGTGCACAAGAATATGGTGCAACTGCAACAGTTGACGCCGTTCTGTGCTGACAATGCAATTTTCGCATCAGAGGATTGGGGATCAACAAGGGATTTTCAGAGAGGGGTATAAAAGTGTCAAGCTGGGTGGCAAACACTGCAAAAACACCAAAACCCCCATCCCACGCCTTCCTGCTCTTTTTGTCACACTTGCACTTCTCCATTTGCAGTTGCAATTGCAGCGAATGCTTTTTCCCACCCAAAGCCACCCACTTTGCTTTTCCCAGACAGGCTGCAATTTACATAAGTGCCATGTGCGTTGGCCGTTGTTTTGTCATTCACTTTTTCGAAGGGAACGACACCATGACTCCACGTCATTGTTGCAATAAAAAAATTGAAGAGTGAAAAGTTCTAGCTGGGAAAATATGCAAAAAATAGAGGTGCAAAAAGATATTCTAACAACACATCGCTGTTTACAATGCTGGCATATTTTGCGTGTAAAGTGGGTTATTTTGAATTCTTAAATTTTCTGTAAGATTTAAGCACAGTATCGTCTGAAAAATTAACAATGGCTACAAATGAAATTTAACTTCATTCAGGAGTTAGGATTCTGACAAATTACAAAGTGAGAAACAGCAGCAGTATTGGTCTTACAAAATAATGGTCGAAAATCGATTGCCGGCGCCTGAAAAACCAATTAATTAGTTTGTGCTGAGCTCCGGATTTATGATGAAGATGTCTGAAGAATTGAGGTCAGCCTCGGCTGTAGAAAATTCACTTCACTCCTTTGTTCCTACTGATTTCTGGCATTGCGGCATGTCGTATTTCTTGTTCTATGTGTTTGCCGCAGCGTCGGCCCGAACTTTTATAATTAAAACTTTTCACGGGAAAAATCTGTCGGCAGGACAAAAAAAATGTAAGCCAAAAAAGAATACTCAAGAGCAGTAGAAAGTCGATATGAACGCGTACCACATAATTAAAGTAGATGGAAATTTATGACTCACACTTGGCAAAGGCAGAGAGTAAGGTAATTCCGCCGGAAATGTCAGTGGACTACTTTAAGAAACCATTTCTCAAGTGAATGTCCATCCACTTATCGGTTTGCTCGTGCTGAGTTATGCAAGGCCCAACTGGGAATCCTTGGAGCCATAAATAAGGCCGGAAACTGTTGCCGCCGCTGTCAGGTTAACAAAACTGCGTAGATGCCAGCCCAGACCCTCAGCATCCTTTTAACCAATGACGAAGACATAAATCACAAAAGGGAAGCCCTGGGAGAAAATATAGAGAAAAAGGGAAGGAGTGCTTCATTGGAAGTCTGGCTCATTGCTAATGATAAGCTCCATAGCGATAGTCGTTGTCGTTCCATATACTGAAATGCCCATCGAGTCGGTTCCCTAATTGGGCTGGCCAACATGGCGTATGCTAGATGCGGCTCGACATATGCTTCTTTAATCTGCTGACCCAGTTGGGTACAAACTTCATTTGCCGCCTCAATTAAGTGCAGTTTGGAAAAAAACTGAATGGGTCCTGGCTGCAGTTTTATTCGATTTACGGCAGCGATTTTTCACAACTACTCTGATTCCGCATCGATGAGCACTCATACAACGCGGCGTATGCGCAATGCCTGTCCACTATTCCGCTGGCCTTGCCCCGTCATAATGAAGCATAATGCACATGGCTGTAAAGATATATAAGTGCAGCCGCGTTACTCGAACCGCATAGCGATTGAAATCCCTTGCTTGTCATTGTGAGTTTTATTCTATTTCCCCTGTATATAGTTCAGCTCGCATTTTATGTGGGAATGTGCGAGTGCTATATCTGCACCACCATCATCATTTATATCCTAGGCTCAAAGGAAGCGTATCCCTCTGCTCATCCTTGTACCGCCGCAGGCAGGGCTTTCAATATTGCAATATGTGCATGGAATATTTGAGCGAGAAAAGCAAAAAAAAGGAAAGGACGAGGACGAGGACGAGGACGAGGACTAGTCTCCAATCGATTGTTGTACTTGGCTGAATAGGACCCCGGAGCTCGCAGTCAAGTAACTTGATCGGAATTCCCCTGTTTTTGGGTAACTGAAATGGAGTTCACAATTTAAGTTTTGTAGGTTGCTACTGTTAAACTTACCTTGGGAGTTAATAGCACTGCACTTTATGCTATTGATTTAAATCCTGGCTTCCAATGTGTTACTTTTGATTCGAATATATATAGAAGTTTGGAGAAAATTAAATAATTTAAACGTGCAACAACGAACAACATAAACCATAAACATTTAAATTTAACGACGGGAACTAAGAGAAGAAGACAAGTTTGACTCTGCTATTCCTCTTGCTCTGCACCAAGGAAATGGAAGATATTACTATTGTTATTAGTACTATGAGCGTATTATTTAAGGACTTACGATGTAGTACTCCAATGGGGCCCGGCAGAGGGGACAAGCCTTGGCGGGGCTCTGTTCGTAGACCTTGCAGAGACAGTTCTTGCAGAATGTGTGCTTGCATGGCGTCTTCACCTGCCGACGAAGCCTGCCCAGACACACAGGACAGCACTCATACATCGCTTCAGCTTCCTTTTTTCCAATTTCTGTTTTCAGGTGATCTTTGTGTTGTTTTAGTGATTGACACAGTGTCGACCTGGGGCGAAGTGTATGGCAAAGCCGCCTCCAATCACATTCTGTAGGCTGGATGTCAAGTATCCCAAAGGCTTGTCAGCTGGCTTTTATTTATGACGGCGTAGAAATGGTTCAATGACTATCAACGTAATGGAAAGGAAGCGAGAATTGGAAATGGGTGCTTTGTAAAATCTTAAGTCTTTAAAAGCCTGTTATGAAACCCCAATCATTAGGAAACTGTTTGGCGTAATCTATAACAAGAGACCCAAGTAGTGCCAATATTTCTTTCTTAAATCTGATGATATTGACAAAAATCTGGCCCAAGCAATAAACAAACAGCATATCGAAAAGAAATCAATTAGTTGCCACCCTGTATGTGCGAGCACGAGCTTCTATATGTATAAGCTCGAGCTTGACGAGTGGAGGCGCCTGCTTATTGTTTGACGTGGTACATTATAGATTTTTATCAGGCCCTTATCCAACGGCACCCACATGCAAGCATTGAATATTGTCAAATTAGGGCAAAGATTGATTGTCATTTTGCCAGTCAGTCACTCAATCGCCAAGGACTAAAGACCCACGACTAATGCTCCTTTCTGTTTGCCATTTTTTACAGCGGATGGCTGGGCAGTGCCAAGGGCTGGCTGGGAAACGCCTCGATACCGTCGATGCCAGCCATGCCGTCGATGCCATCGATGCCGGCCATGCCAGCGATGCCGTCGATACCATCGATCCCGGGACTCCGCAAGGGCGGAGGAGCCGACGGAGCAGAGGGCGCCGAGGGAGCTGTTGCCGGAGAGGGCGGGGCCGCCGCCAGTGGAGCCGTGAGTGGTGGCGAGGATGACGACAAGTCGAGGTATATTAGGTATGGGTGCCAGCTTGACAATGACGGAATTATATACGAAGCAGCCGTTCAATACAAACCAATGCCAAAAAAATTATGAAAGAAGATGAGAAGCGTCTTTGTACTTCAGTTCCCTGTTGCGTCTTTGGTTAACCTCCGTTTAAGCCACACTAAGTTCTTTAGTCTTTTGTTCAACTTTTTTGGGTACCTTTTGTTTGAAGTCTCAGGCGAAACGTTTTCCTCCCTCTAATGGAAGGAATACGAGCAAAGGCTTAAGTTTTCCTTGGTTTTCATTTACAATTGGTTTGCGTAACCGAAAGTTGAAGCCTTTTCCACACGATTTACTTTAATACCTACCCAAATACACACGAGTTTCTCTTATAGTATATTATAACTATTTACGATTTACCTACATACTCCACATTAAAGGAAACTCGTTTTCTTTCATATATTTAGTTGAGATATTGTTCCGCATTTCCACATAACCTATATATTTATATACCCATTTATTTGCTATACACGAATTTTCTTGTGCTGGTTCAAGTTTCACTATTTCACATATTAATAACTTTTTGTACAAATCAAATATGATCTGTCTCTCTATAAATTTCTATATCTCTCAACCTATCTACCTCTCCCATCTGTAAAACAGTACAACATCTTTAAATCGTTCAAACGTTTTTGTATATAAAAGTAAATATTTAAACCCACCTGAAATTGGCTTACGAAAACACAAAATTTTGTCCCTTTACGAGAGTTAGAAAATATTTTTATTTCCTGACTTTGGATATGTTGAGCGTTCACCTAAAAATTTAACAATACTATAAGCTATCTTGTTATATAGTACGGAGCATAAAAACTATTTTTTAGTGTAATTTCTGATATATATCTGTAAGTGGTAAGTTGAATATTTTTCTAGCCTTGAAAATGGACACAATTTTGAAAAAGAAAAAACAATAACAAAAAAATCAAAAACTGAAATTACCATAACTCATTTCATTCAGCTCATGATCAAGTACAATTTCCATTTGACTAGGTCAAACCACTGAATCGTTTTCTTCTTCAACACCAAACACATAAACCATACAACATACATTTAGCAGTCCCATTTGATATTTTCTATTAATTAAAAACATTTCGCTTCTATTAATTTCTCAAACGAGTCGAAATAAAAAATGTTAAATCCTCATTTTCTCGACATTAACAATTGCCCAAAGTATCAGATTCCATCATTTTTGAGCGGCCCATCGAACCAAGTCAAGGAAACCGAATGAACACCATAAAAAAACTATTTGGAACCAAGTCCTTCGTCTACGTATAGTAAAACCAAGCTCAACCCTAATTGTTGTTGGTAGATGTGTATCACTGTCCTTATTTCGATCATCATCAGTACCATTATCATTGTGTTTTCATTTCATTGTCTCGATTCCAAACTCATCTCGCTGTGTTGCTGTGTAGCCTTCCCTCTTTGTACCAGTTTCGTTTTTCATGTCCTTATTTTTTCGTGTAGCAGCTAAAAATTACCATCTCCCAGCTCGATAAATGTCTGTCTTTCGCGGGGACCGGCTTTAAAATTCAGAAATGGAAAAGTATGAATCCGTGATGCTAATGATGCTTATCAGTCCTCGCATGACTTCTTAGTGTGCCAACCCATTTGGAATTCACTTTGTTCCACTCACTTTTAGTTGTGCCCCTGTAGTATTCGTTTTTGGCATCATTCATCCTGACATTCATATGAGATTTGTTTATTTCATATTGCATTCACGAATCAAACTGAAAAAAACAATATAAATAAATAGCTGTATACAAAAACATAAATACGTGTATATATACATAAGCGTTTTAAAATAAGCGAGTACAAAAGATTTTTTAAATGTAAATGAACCCAAAATGTAAGATCATTAGTTAAAGATCATTGAACATGAGGAAATTCAAATTAATATTCGAATAATGAGAACAAGATCATTTGATAAGAGAGACAGAACCCTAAACGAAAGTCTAGTAGATTTTTATGTTCAAAATATGGCACGCTTAATAGTTGTTGATGCATGGTTTATTGAATATGGTATATTTATTATTTCTGTATGGTTACTATTGAGTGCATTTCAGGCATGTTTATTAAGTAATTCTTACCTACTTATGTGTTAAGTTCATTTGGCATGCTGCCTGCTGCATGAGTTGTTCTTGGAGCTTTTCACAATAACTATATGAATACTCAAACGATATGGAAATGGCAAAACCATTCACACTTTGTTTTTCTGCTCCCTCTCTTTTTACTCCGCTTCACATCGAACGCCGCAACTGCAGCGCCACGGAGGGCGCCGACTCGCATCCTGCATCGGGCGGTGGCACGCCCACCGGCGACGAGGGTCAAATCGGACAGGGTAAGGGCGATGAAGTCAAAAGTACGTGTCACACTTTGATTGGTACCCAAATTACAAGAGACAACTTCAAACACATTGTGCTAAATGTCGATTCAATGTCAACTCCAATTGCCAATTCAAAAAGATTGAGATAGAAAGCGGTGACAGGTTACTAACCCCCAGTTACAAGTAGTTTGAAATAACCCAGTACTCCCGCTCCCCTCTCACTCAATCCCCCAGTGAAACGTTTGCTTTGTAGTCTAGTTTAGTTTAGTTCTGTTGGTAGCAAGTCCCATTTGGGCTGATTGTCGTCAGTGGAGTGAAACTTATCGCATCCTGATTTGAATGTATCCGACAGTTACCACAAAAGTAACACAGCAGGCCAAACACTTTGGGTCCTTCTTGTCATCGGCCATCAGCAAGGCTGGCAGCAAAATCAAGGAAACAGTCAAGGATAATGTGAGTGCATGCCACTGCTTCAATGGGGCCAATTTCTATTCATTCTCGCCTATTCCCAGACCATTCTCGACTCGTTCAACAAGGAGCAGGAAGCCTTCATCAAGGGCCAGGGCGGCGTGGGCAATGGAGCAGCTCCCTGGATCGGACACGCCAACGAGGCCAAGATCAAGGAGGAAATTCTGGGCCTGTCGCAGGATCGCCGCAACTTCGTGCGCGCCCCGCCCGCCGGCGTGGACTTTGAGTTTAGCTACGACACCGCCTATCCCACGGCCATAGCCATTATGGCCGAAGACAAGGCGCTCGAGACGATGCGATTCGAGCTGGTGCCCAAGATGTGAGTACAATGCTAGAGTTGTCAGGAGCAAGCAATTGATCCATGTCCATTTATTCCCCAGCATCACTGAAGAGAACTTCTGGCGGAATTACTTCTACCGCGTCTCACTGATCATCCAAGCTGCCGAGTTGGGCACTCTAGGCGCCGATGGCGTGGGCCAGGCCTCAAGCGGCGAAGATGGTAAGTTGGTTATAGCTCCTGCTAATCGTCGTCAGCAACGCTGGAAAATATATATAACGCAAAGAGATGCAGGATAAACAGACTGCCTCGCTCACCAAACACTCACACTCGTTATTCGCGCGCTCTCTATCTATCTATCTATATCTATATCTATAACGTGTATCTGTACCTATAACGACCTGCCTATGAACTCTGTCTATCTTTCCTAAGTCTAAGTCTTTCATTTTTGGTTCACTTTAGCCACACGCGCCTGTTTAACTTATGATTTCCTCTTAGTCCTTTTCACACACGCTAGCTATCCAACGTTTTCCGTTCTCTCGCTCTTTCTACCTTAATCTTTAAACATGCCTACTATCTCTCGAGCCTCGATCTAACTAACTTGGCTAGCGTCTGTACTACACCGCCTCAGAGTATGCTCATGTTATAAGTTGAATTAAGCCCCTTGATTTGTATCCGTCCCTCCACCCGCACTGGCTTGTATCGTCGAGGACTCGATTCCTGGTTTTCGGTTCTTCCTCACTCCCCCAACGTTCATCTCAATCGCGTCTCGAATCTCAATTGATAATCGCTCCACGAACGTCGCCAGCCGCCCAGCGCCTCACCTCAAATCGATTTACTTACTGTATTTCCTCTTTTCAGTTTGTTAATTATTACCTTTTTCGTTCTATTATTATTTTTATGAATCCCACCACGAAATTACACTGCGAAATCGAACTTGACAATCGAAATCAATACGAAAACTCAACCGTGTTGAACGATCAGCCAACGAAGTGGTCCCCAAAGAAATTAAATCCAAGACTGTCGAACCAGCCAAGAGCGATTCAAGTCTGAAAGCCATTGCCGAGCAGCCGAAGGCTTTGATTGAGCCGGAGGTGCAGCAGAGCCATGTCCAGGCAGCCAAGTCAAAGGCACATGCCAGCAAAGAGCTGGGCCAGAAGGTCTCCGAATCGGAATTCGTTTCGGATGACTTCCAGGCCTCGAGCGAATCGGACTTGGCTGAGATCCAAGACGGCATGCGCAAGTTGGGCATCGACAGCATGACCCAGCAGGCACTAGCTGCGACTGATGGTAAGAGTTTATATTATGTTAATTCCCTATCAGTTTGTTATTATTGTTATTGTTTCCCTGTTATTTCTTGTCGCTTGAGTTAAGGACTAACATTTTTTGTACATACATGAAATTGATCAAACGAATTTCATTGGTGCTCTGATACACACGAAACATTCATTCATACACATGTCTCTACATACAACATGAGAAAACATTTAGAGTATCTAGTTATATTGCTTAGGCAGCGAGCTTCAGCTCTGATTTCATCTAGACTTTAGAGATCTATCCAGGCACACTCCATTGCCATTTGAGCACAATAATGTCTCTTGTCTGAGTCGCGAATTTGGTTTTCCCAACATCCCATTATCTATTTTGCAACCAAAGCCACACATGAAACTATATACTTTCTTTGTGCCAAACAAACAGAACAAACAATCTAAAACAAACAAAAATGTGTGTACAAATCAAGTGTAAAACCGAACAAATCTCTTTCTTCTCCTCTGCTCTGTTTCTTTCTTTTATGTAAATTACATTTTGTATGAAAATCGTTTTTTCTTATTATATGACAAACAACTCAAGCTCTGGCATTTAATTACTAAAGCGAATCTATCAATTGAAAGTAATATTAAACCAATAAAGAAATCACACAATAAATAAATATAGAAGTAAAGCAACTAATGGATAACAAGAGTATTATAAATTATATAAACACATATAAATATATATCCTGAATTAAATCAAACTCGACAAAGAACTCTCATTTGCCATTTAGCGAACTGCAAAATAATAATATATACATATGTATATGTATGTAACATATGACATATAATTTGATTTCAATTATCCAATAACAGTTTAAGAAAGAGTTAAAGCCACAAACCAAATTTCGAACAAGTTGAGTATGACCAAACTGATCAAGAAATTCTTATATACAACATATATCCTATTGATACAACTTTCGCTCTCTCTTTGCAATTTCGTGCTCCTTTTTATTCAATTTGCAATTCAAGTTAATTTACAAAAATTTAGCTAGATGTAATTTTCGTTGTCTTCCTTCCTTCGATCCAATTATAATTTTGCCTTTTTTCTTTGACACATTTCTCCACATGTTTAAGACTCAAAAACTATATTCTAATCTAGCCGCGACACGAAAAGAACTTCCTTCCTAGCAATACACAAAATTTTCCAAAACTATCTTACCATGAATATCTGATGATGAATTTGTATGGGAAAACATTTTAACAAAACATTTATTTTTCTTCATGTATTTCTTGATTTATTTACGAATCATCTTGCAGAAGATTGAATGGATTAATACAAAAAGACACAACAAAATGCTAAATCTAAATTTCAAAATGCAAAAAAAAACCAACTAACAAAATAAACAAAATTATAAAAAAATACTACAAAATTGCCCACAAGAAAGAAAAGAAATTGTTAAGCGAAAGAAAAAAAGTACTACAGCAACAAAATTATATAAATACTTATAAAGATATTCACTTGACAACAATGAAAATTTGAGTTGAACCCAGTAAAGGCATTATTTATACAAACCGAAGACAGAAAAGCAAAAAAATGTTACTAAAAGACAAAAACCGAAACAAAATTTTGTGTGGTAAGTTAGCAATTGTTGGCTGAATTAAAGCAAAAAATATAAAAGTGAACTATATACAAATTGCAACACGTTTTAGTTGTGATAATTTTTGGTTAAATGTTGGTTTTCAATTGCATAATGTTTCTGTTCAGCAATATTCAATATTGTATTTAGATATTACCCTACAATTCAAAGTAGTTGCAATTTCAATCATTTCCCACTACGCTTCTGTCTGTATCTATATAATCGTTGTGTATGTTTTTAGTATGTGTGTGCAAATTAATTAGTAGTCTTAGTCAACAAAGCTTTGTTTTTAGTTTAGCATTTGCATTATAGTTTACATTAAAGTGCGTGCGTTGAAAAATCAGCGGGGAGGGCAAGAAGAAAGATACCTATTTATACAAATTGGGCGCTTCTTACGAAACCAATTTGCTTTCTTAAACTGCACAATGATAATCCGAATCGGGGATAATTTTGTAACCAATAAAGTCGTTCCTTCTTATGGACCAACTCACCACACAAAATCAATAGAAACTAATTCAAAACGATTGAATTCTCTGGCCAAAAACTATAAACCTCCAAGAAGCCGCATATGACTCAGTTTTTTCCCCTGTTTCTCTCTCTTCATGGCATTTTTGGTTTGATTAATTTTGCAGCATTTGGTTTGCCGGCTTTTATAAAACCTTATATTTGGCCAGCTTCGTCAGTTATTAGGCGTGTAAATAAGAATATTTAATGTAATATGTTCCGTTTGCTTGCTTTTTATGCGTAAATGCTGTAAATACACACTGAATATGATTTTTGTTGTAAACATTTTTGTTAATTGATGGAGTGTGAAGCAACAATAAACCAACAATAAACACAAATTGCAGTTTGGGAACTACAAGCAAGTCATGGACTGGGTATCCTTTGGGTGCACGCTATCCGTTAATTAGTGCTAGATCGACAATGGTGTACAGCCTACCCTATCAATTACTCCTTAAATTGGCCCGACTTTGTTAATTGACCAAGTGAAAAATAAACTAAATTTTCAACTATTTGTAGACGGCTATTATTCAGTTACGGTGCGAATACCCAAACGTATAACAGTGTGTGAAAATCTATGTCTTAGCTATATCCCCAGAGACTAGCCGCAGGTAAACGTAAGCGATGATTAAACTGAGAACAACCATGTACTTGCTTGGGATGGTCACCTAACCACAATTCAATTGCTTGCCTAGACACTTTTGATACTAAACCTATATACCCAAACGCCATATACCAATATACGATATGTGTAAACCATGTATGCTAAACCTATTATATTATTATATATCCGTACATAAGCAGATATCCGTTACCGTGCTGCTAAGCCACGCAAATACTAATCGATATTCTGCTTGTTGCTCCGTCTTTTGCCAGAGGAACAATGGGAAAAGGATCTGGAAGCTGAACTCAAGGACTACGAGGTGGTTGACGAAGGCGGCACTGGAGGCGGAGATGGCGGCGGTGGCGGCGGCGGCGGAGGACGCAGGAAAGGCAGGGAGGCCGGCAAGGACGACGCGGAGGCGGAGGAGGACGAACCGACAATATCAAACTTGCGCACACGCTCGACTAACAACGATTGGGAGGAGTACGCCGATTTAATTGAGGATACCGATGATTTAAAGTAATTAAGAGCTTATATCGTAGTTTCTTCTAAGTTGGCTCTAAGTTTATAACTATCTTTACTTTATCTTTCTTTCCATTCCTTTCTAACCTTGTTTCCTCCTTAATTGATTACCCTAATATTGTTAAACCAAACCCAAAACCGAATCCAAATCTAAACGAAATACAAAACTATTCGAAACCACAGAACTTTGAAGTGCCTAAAGCGCACGATGTTGGGCTATCCATGAGACGAGGCAGTCCCAGCGCTCTCCTAGTGCCGGTGGTCCACAATCCCAGACATTTCCCTGTGGGCTTGCCTTGTGGTGGCCTATTGGAAAAGTTGATTGAGATACCATAGCCCCTAACACGCACTCAATTATTGGCCTCAGAGCAAAGCGTTCTATTCAGTTACGTTCAGACATGATATAAGACACTAAAGCAAAAGAAAACGATTTGATTTAACCTTAACGTTTTAACCGAAAAGTAAAAAGAAAAAACCAATCCCTAGCCAATCCGGTATTTAAATGTAACTACTATATTCTCTTTTATTTGGTTGACACACCGAGTGGCAGCGGTAGAGGGAGTCGTCGCTATTACTTGCCAATTGTTCAGCACACGAAGCATCCGAAATCTGGCAGTCAGTAACCAACCTATCAATAAGTACTTATATAGACACACAACTATGAGAGCAGGCTAAACGAGAAACTGGCTAATGCTATATATGCAGATCATATTTCAATATAGTGACTAACAATTGAGTAAACAAACATGCTTCAAAGGGAAATTTTGTTATTTATATTTATAAATAAATTATATATAAATATATATACACATATATATATACAGATAAATTAATGCATTTGAATTTAATGTGTAAAAATTATTATAATAAAAGTATAGATATAAAATATGTAAAGATACGAGACACCCAAAAAAAAGTTGAATGTTTTAGTTTCAAAATCCTTAAAAGGCTTTTCTTTTCGAAATTTTGAATTCAAATCAAGCAAAATAAAAAAGATAGTAACTTATTAGTTGAGAGCAAATAAGTACCATTCAAACGTATTATTTATCCCTCGATAGTTTGTAGTCAAACAAAAATATTATACACAGAGTAAATTATCATTAATTGATGCTTAAACAACACGTTGAAGAATAAATAAATAACAATGCATATAAATACCAATTGTTTAGCTCAATTTAAGGCGCGCCAACAAGTTTTCTTTTCCGAACGTTTTCAGTTCGAACAAACTTCTTTTGGGATTTTTTCTAAACAACTCTCACCTTGCTGTTCCACTACCAAGACACGAACTTCCTTGAACAAAACTAAAAACAAATTGCCAAAACAATAATACACTGATTGGACTTGAAAGATCAAGAAACTTAAAACGCAATTAATAAATTACAAATAACAAATGAAAAGTAAATGCAATTATAAACAATAAGCAGTTCAAAACCTTTGAAACAAATATATACACATATATATTTATATATTTCACTAGACAAATTTTTATGCATAAACTAAAAACAAAAGAAATTCTATATTATCAATGTTTTTGCTCTAAATGTCTAACTAATTGTTAATAAAACCAAAATAAAATTATTTTCTGCAGACAAACGTTATATGAGAATGAGAAATGCTATGAATGTGTAATTATTTGTTAGCAGTCACGAAATATATGAAGAACATGCGGATGATACGGAAAAAGTAAACGTTATGACATTAAACTGTATATTGTACATTTACTTTTAAACAAATGAAATGTATTTACACGAAACGGCATGGAATATGACAAACTAAAGAAATTTTAAAATTTATATTTACTTTGTGCGTTTTTAAACATGTTGGCGACACAATGACAAGCAAATTAGTGCATAAACCGAACTAATAATAACAATAAATATTAAAAATTAACGATAAATAATGTAATGATGTTGACAGCATATGTATTTTACAAGGCAGAACAACCCAACCCCTAGATCCAATCCTCACCGAATCCTGAAAGATATATCAAACCTCCAGCATTGACTCTCACACACATTTTTTATTGTCTGCAAATAGATTATTATTATTAAACCGTAAAGAAAGCAAAAATTAAATTAATGTTTATGAGCAAAGTTTGTTGAGCAGCATTTCATTAATATACATTGCAAAATGAAGTAAAATATATGTAAATGTACTAATTAAAGTATATCACCCCCGAGACGGAAAACCGAAAAAGTATAATTTAGTTGTTTAATGATTGATAATATTTAGACACCAGAGGATTCCTCGTAGCATCCACCGGATGCAAAAATTGTCAGCAAGAAGCAGAGGCACTCCCTGAAATGCCATAGAACATTTTCCACTCAATGTAAAACCAAGGGCAGAGCGCGGAGTTTCTCTGACGATAGCACCCTGAAAACTAAGCACAGCAAACGGAAAATAAATTAAACATTTTGTGTAAGGTTCGATGACAGAACGGAGGCGACAGCATGAACACGTACGAGTATATACATAATAAATATATATGAGAACAATTTAACGAGATTAAAATCAACTAAAGTAATAAAGGGAAAGTGTATAACTATTAAAACTAACGAAACGCCAAGCTCTTTCATTCCGATTTTCGCATATTGCATTAATTTATTCACAATAATTTTCGATACATAAATTACAGGACCTTACACTAAACGGATTTAATAAAACATATTTTTGGACAATACACAATGAATTAACAGTGGGGTTAATAAGCATGCGATTGTGCGCCAGTGGCAGGCCAATTATTATTTTACAATATTGCAATTGAATAAAATCTGTAATTCTCATCGGTGCCCCCATATTTGCAGAGCAAATACCTTCGGACTCGAAGCGGGGATTGGGATTGGCTTCGCTTGGCTTACGGCTAGTAACACAATTTCAATGATTTTTCGTAGACCTTCCACCTCGGAACATTTTGCTAGATATTAATGTGCTTTTAGTGGCGGGTCACCACCGGGGACTACGTCGATTCGGTTCGGAACGTTCGTACTGGATGCTCTTGAAGGAGCTACTTGCACTCAGCTGCTGTTGCTTCGGAACTGGCTGTCCACGAGTGACAATGTCTTTCCATATCATGGTCAAAAGTATGAAGAAAGCGCCCACTATCTTGCTCAGAAGCTCAATTAGCTTAAACACTATTGGAGTGGCGGTGTGTGTAAACCGACTCAGCTCAAACATGAATCGCACAGCGAATACGCCTAGGAATCGTAGCGCTAGTGCGGCTCCACCTAAGGCAGAGAAGATGAGTAGGCCCAGAAAGCGAATAGTGCCCAAGATGTTCCTCTTGTTGACATCGTTAGCCATAAAGTCGTACACGGTCTGTTTGACACCATCGCCCCACTGTTGCAACACAGCCAAAAAGTCATTAAGGCCTAGCTGAATTTGCTCCGCCACTTCGTCTGTCTTGAAGGAGGAAGAGTCTTCACCCGCTGTGATCGCCTTGACAGGGCTACTCCTCTTTAGGGTCAGGGATCTCCTCGGCGTCGCCAAAGGCTCTGGCTCCACGGGCCTCACCATCTTCAATTTGAACTGCACTTCGTGGTCCCGGAAGCGCAGGGTCTTGATGCTGAACCAATACTCTCCAAAAGCCAGGTCATTCATCTCCGTCCACATGCAGGTATCCAGTTGACCGGGATCTGCTTTGTGCTGGTAACTTCCGTAACTGCCGTAGGTGATACCTACCCACATAGTGGGCACAAAGCGTTGATAGAACTTTTGCAGCTGGCCGGCGCTCGAGTGCAGCAGCTTCTCCAACTCTCGCTCGCTGCGTTGCAGCACCACTACGTCTCGGTATCCAGACACTTGCTCCACGAAGCAGCGTTCCATATAATGGCCGCGGAAGAGACAAGACTTGTAGAGCTGCTTGGTGAGCGCTTGCATGGCTAGTTCCTCGGGCGGCATATGACGTCCGCCCGCCTGTGGCATCACCGCGCTGTTGTCCATGCCTAGCTGGTTATAAAAGCTCTTATTACTGGTAAGTAATGGACTGTAGTAACCTTACCGATTGATAGTGATTGGACTTTGCTGCAACCACTTTCGCCGCTTAGTCAGCACGGCGGTTTTGTTATTGTTTGTCCAGGCAATATGTGCGAGTTAGGGTTAAGCTTTCAGCTCTTGTTTATTTTTTATTTTTTTCCGACCATGCATAGTGCACTATAGTGCAAGACTTTAAGTTTAAAATTCAGGCATTTAAACATAAACTAGGTAGATACAAATTAGGCAACCAGCTGTTAAGTACGATAGCCGATAACAATAGGGGCGTCCATACACAACCGATTGGCGGAGTATACAACTGTCAGTGGACTATCGCTAATGTGACGAAAAAAATTATAAAAAACATTTTTGATACTCATTTTTCCCAGTTTTTCCACCCGGCCACGTTGGTTTCCACCCACATCAAGATTTCCTCCCAACAGCGTCTGCTCGAGTGCTTCAGGATGACTTTGGTGGGCCTAGCTGCCCGCAAATTGGCGCAGAAGAAAAGGTTAGTTTTGTTTGAGAAGTATCCCAGCCGGCTTTTTTATTGTAACCTTGGATTTCTGTAACAACAGATCCGCCAAGCAAGCAGCCGACTTTCCCAACGGCATCCGGTGCCAGAAGTGCCTGCAGATCGGACACTGGAGCTATGAGTGCAAGGAGAAGCGCAAGTACGTCCACCGGAGCTCGCGTACCAAGCAGCTAAGCAAGCATATGTCCCAAAAGGAGGCTGATGCACCCAAGAAACAGGTGGAAGAGCACGCAGAAGTGGTTTCCTCGGAAGGAAAGAAGGTCCGTCGCCAGCGGAAACCGAGCAAGAGCTCCTCGTCCTCCTCCAGCTCGTCGGACAGCTCAGACAGCAGCAGCGAATCGGACTCGTCATCCGAATCCGACTCGAGCAGCTCCAGTTCGGACTCGGAGGACGAGGATGGCGGCTCGTCGGGCTCCAGTGGCAGTGGCTCAGACAGCGATAGCAGCGAGGATCAAAAGCAGGGAGCGCCCCAAAAGAAGAAAAAACGAGCAGAGAGTTCAGCTGAATCTTCTGACGACCAGGAGTAATCGAGAGACCGATTTGTGGTCTGTAGCATGTAGCTTTACTAGTTTAGTTATTCCCACATTTAAACCGAATATGAACATACTTTTTGTACTACATTGTGTTTATTATTATGCCCCCACCAAGTACGTTGTTATGTGATGTTCCAGCCAAGATGCTAACCATAATAACAATTTTAATCCGAGTCGACTTCCTCTTCGAAACGGCTAATTTGGCTTGTGAAATCCAAATCTATTTGCTGGCTGTTGATGAGGTGGGACTCCATCACAGTTGTGATTGGGGACTGTTCCATCGTCAGATCTATGTGGAGGGAATCCCTTGCAGGAGTGCACTCCGTTTTTGAGTTTTGCTGGCCCACCACCTGAGACTTAAGATGCAGTTCCTCTACCTGTAAAACACTAAATTGCGCGAACCGCCATGGAAACAGGAGATATGCAAATACCTTTAGTGAATTTAATGCCTCCTGAATTACGGGGAGCACACGGTCGAGTTTTTTTTGGATAGCAAATAGTTCAGCCTGCTCTTTTTGTAGGACGCGATTTGTTTGCAACATTTTGAAAACAAATAATAAAAGTTAACCCTAGAATGACATCTTTTCTATCAAGGCTTTAAATGGTATACTTTTAATAAACAAACATTTTAAGTGAATTCAAATTTTATATAATACCAAATAACTTTGGAAACAGAAATAATTTTTTAAAGATGGCTACTAAATAAGTAAATTTAGTTAATTACTTTATATAGTATTGGGTTAATTATCAGCTATCGATAAGGCCGCTCGAATAAAAGCATCCCTGCTGCAAATGAAAATTTCGATAACAATAGCGGTGAGGCAGGCGGCAATCGAAATCATTCGCGCCTTTCTGGAATTTGCATTTTGTACAGTCAAAACAGGGATTCGCGTAAACTGCGCAGGAATATAAACAAACAAAAGTTAGCAGAATATAAAACATTACCAGTTCTCTACCAATGGACACTTGTGAGGTGGAGGGAGAGGCGGAGACGCTCGTGAGGCGCTTCTCCGCTAGCTGCGAGCAATTGGAGCTGGAACCGAGAATTCAGCAGAGCGCTCTGTCCACCTACTATCGCTTGGATGCCGACGGCGGGCTGTCCACTAGCGAGGGAGATGCCCAGGAGTGGCTATGTTGCTCTGTCTACAGCGAATTGCAGCGGTTGAAGATGCGTGACATTAGGGAAGAGTCTACCAGCGAAGCGAACGATTCGGTGGCTAAGAACAGCTGCTGGAACATGTCACTAACTCGTCTGCTGCGCAGCTTTAAGGTGAACGTGTCCCAGTTTCTACGCCGCATGGAGCACTGGAATTGGCTGACCGAGAACGAGAACACTTTCCAGCTGGAGATAGAAGAACTGCGTCGCCGACTGGGTATCACTATGACCCTGCTGCGGCACTATAAACACATCTTCCGGAGCCTGTTCGTTCAGCCCGGCAAGGATGCGGACCCGGATGACCTCAATCACTACCAAGCGCTGTATGAGTTCGGTTGGCTGCTCTTCCTGGTCATTCGAAACGAGTTACCAGGTTTTGCGACTACAAACCTGATCAACGGCTGCCAAGTGCTCGTTTGCACGATGGATCTTCTCTTCGTGAACGCCTTAGAGGTAGCCCAATCCGTAGTTATCCGCCGGGAATTTTCTGGTGTGCCCAAGAAATGGGACTCCAAAGACTTCAACCCTACCTTGCTGAACAAATATAGCGCGTTAGAAGCGATGGGAGAACTGATTCCCGAGCTACCAGTGAAGGGCGTGGTGCAAATGAAGAACGCCTTTTTCCACAAGGCCTTAATGCTGCTCTATATGGACCACAGTCTAGTTGGAGACGACACCCACATGCGGAAGATCGTTAAGGAGGGAATGCTTGATATAAATCTGGCCAACTTAAATCGCAAATACACCAATCACGTAGCCGACATTAGTGAGATGGACGAGCGGGTGCTGCTCAGCGTCCAGAGGGCGACCAAAGAAGACTCTCAAAGAAGTCCACCGCCCTTCCAAACAAGCTCCTCACATTCGCATAAGAAACTGTTCTCCCAGGATCTACCAGATACTCTTCCACCTAGCATTATAAAAGCTATCCAAAAGGAAGAAGACGGAGATAAAATTATGAAATATGTATATCGAACTCTGCAAGAAATGAATCTGACCTTTACCATTGCCGCGAAAGATTTTTTGGATGCTGAGGTGTCGGGAAAACGATTCCGCCAGGTCAGAGGCCTTTACTACAAATTTCTGCAGAAGATTTTGGTCCCGGAGCTGGCTCAAAAACCACAGCTTAAGATTGGGCAGTTAATAAATCAGCGCACGCTTACAGTGGCACTGTTAGCATGCTGTCTGGAACTGGCTCTTCACGTCTACGACAAACTAGTGGAAGGATTAAGGTTTCCCTTTGTCCTGCACTGCTTCTCCCTGGACGCCTACGACTTTCAAAAGATTCTGGAGTTGGTGGTACGCTACGATCATGGTTTTCTGGGCAGGGAGCTGATCAAGCACCTGGATATAGTGCAGGAAACATGCCTGGACTCCTTAATTTTCCGCAAGAGTTCACAGCTGTGGTGGGACCTAAAGCAAAGACTTCCTCGCTACAAGGAAGTCGATGCAGAAACTGAAGGTAAAGAGAACTTTTCAACGGGGTCAGGCATCTGCCTGCGAAAGTTCTACGGACTGGCCAACCGGCGACTGCTGCTTCTGTGTAAAAGTCTTTGCCTTGTGGACTCCTTTCCGCACATCTGGCACTTGGCCGAGCACTCCTTCACATTGGAGGGTGGCCGTCTGCTTCGTAATCGTCATCTGGACCAACTGCTGCTGTGCGCCATATATCTTCATGTTCGGCTCGAGAAGCTTCACCTCACTTTCAGCATAATTATTCAGCATTATCGGCGACAGCCGCACGCACAGAGAAGAGTTTACCGAGAGGTCAGCCTGGGCAATGGCCAGACCGCTGATATTATCAGTTTCTACAACAGTGTGTATGTCCAGAGCATGGGAAACTATGGTCGCCAACTGGACTGTGCACGATCGCGCAAGTCACTGCAAGAAGCACAGAGTAACGTTGGTATCCTGAAGGAGAGAACTCATAACGAATTGAGCCTGAGAGCCAACATTAGCATATCTTCACCGCCCCCACCCAGGGTATGCCAAAATGCGTCCTGCTCCAGTCTGCCACCTCCATCTCCCGCCGCATCCCCACTGTCCTCACAGAGCTCGCTTAACATAAAGCGCGCTGCTTCGAGTAGCGAATTGAGAGAGGTCAAGCGACCCAACATCCTGCGGAGTCGCCAGCTTTCAGTGATCTGAAAACCAATCAAAAAAGCTTAAATAGTTGGTTCCATTTTACGCAGCCATCTTAATATATTTCTTTCTTATTTATCCGTTTAAAATGCGGTACAAGAAAGTTAAAAGCTGCTGCTTTCGTGAGATTGCTAAGACTTCAATTGTAATAAAAGAATAACTTCCACCTGTAGTTTAAATAAATGTTTATTGAATGCCAATTTTCGGCTTTGAAACTTGGTTCAAAATATTTGTGCAATTGCTTGTTAACGCGACAGGACCCGAAACGAAAACTTACACGAAACTGGAGGTGCGCAAGATGCAGTGCATCTCCTCCAGATTACACACAAGAGTTGGGCTTAAAGTGGAGTATACATAATACATACTGAGAGCGTACGACTTACAGCTATTTACTTTAACGTTTTCTGGCCTATGAGTAAGAGTTAAGAAGAGGGAGCTACTCCGGCAATGGGAGCGGTGTTCGCTGGAGGAATGCCCCCTGGTGGCATTCCCGATCCCAGCGGTGCGTTGGCATCTGCAACTGGACCGCTGCTTGGCGGTGTGGTATCTATGATGGGAGTAAAACATGTCGGAGTAAGTACCATAGTTTATAAAAGGTAATCCATAGTGCTCTTACCCATTGGTGTAGGTGCTTGAGATTGCGCTGCTCCCGCCGCGGCTGGTCCGGTTTGGTCGCTCGGATTCGTTACAATGGCCGTTGGAGCCCCTGGCGGGAGTCCTCCCGTGAGAGCAATCGGTGGCGCTGCAAAGGGAGCACCGTTGGGCGACGGAACTACGTGCGGGGGCAACGGCTGATGCTGAGCGGTGGGACCCGCCAGCGGTTGGGACTGCGACGGCAGCTGGTGCGGATGTGGAGGCATCTGCTGCTGCTGCGCCAGGTGCGGATGCGGCGGTAATGATTGCTGTTGCTGCTGCTGCTGGGGCTGTGGTAGCTGCTGTTGCTGCTGCAAAATCATAGATCCCGCGGCAGCCTGGCCCTGGAGCTCTTGCTGAAGGCGATGATGTGCTTGTTGGCGCGCTCGGAACTCGGCAGCCTTTAGCTGCTCCAGGTGGAATTGCTGACGCTCTGTGATCAGCTGCTGACGCTGATACTCCAATCCCTCGCGTTCTCGCTCCATAGTGGCCTCTAGTTCCTCAAAGTGGCGCAATTTGATCTCCAGTTTCTTCATCTGAGTCTCAACGAGGAGCGCCACCAGGGATTTGATCTTGCGCTCCTCCAGGGCAGCCAGATGTTTGGCTTTAACTGCTGCGGATGCCAGAGCTGCCGCCGCCGCAGTCTGCATATTATTCTCGCTAAACGTGCCTTCCTTTGCCACCACCCCTGATCCTGTCCCGGTTCCCGATCCCTCCTTGGCCTCAGTGCCGTCCTTAGTCTCGCCATCGCCACTGCTGTCCTCCGTCTTGATGTCCACTTCGCCGCCACTTGCGGATGCTGCGGTTTCTGTGGGTGAGGATTTGTTTGATTTGTCTGACTTGGTGGCTGACTTATCGCCCGAAGGCGAGGAGCCGGATGACTCCTTTGGTTTCTTGTCAGTGTTGTTGGTGTTGCCTGTCGCTGATGATGATGTGGAACTCGAGTCTGTGTTCGTGTGAGTCTTATCCGATTTTGTATTGTCTTTGGACTTGGCATCGTCTGTGGTTGTTGTTTGTTATTTGGTGGTTGTGGTGTTGATGTAAGTTTGGTAGATTGGGCGCAACACAAAAACGAAACAATATACGAATACAGTGCCAAATGGTGAACACATTGCGAATTTTGAAAGAAAGCAACACAAGATTTCAACAAAACAAACAAATGCAGAACCAACAATTGAGAGTATGGCCTAAGCATTCGATTAAAAGAGATCTCGCTCGATTTAGCGACTGTTCCCTTAACCAACATCTATTAACCCGCTTAACCGATCTCTAAAGGCTTTGGCTTACCGTCTTTTTTGCTTAGGTCCTTCATTTCCTCATCAGAGCCGCCGGCGGATGCAGATGCGCCACCCTCCTTCCCCTCTTCATCGTCCTTGTCGTTTCCGGTTCCTGCGATTCCACTGTTGGCCAGTCCAAAGTTCGGATTAAATTTACCACCTGCCGAAGCTTTTTCCACGTTTTTCATGTGGTTGTCCATTATTGTGGCGGGCACCTCATCCTAGCATAAGTTTTATATTTAATGTTAAAATCATAGTTTAAACGTGATTAAATGTAACTACCTTAATGGCTGCAAATTCCTCCATGGCAGCCTTTGCTGCTGCAGCGGCTACGCGAGGATCGACCACAGATGCCAGAAATGCGACAGTTGACATAATGGGATTGCCGCTCTTGCTAAACGGAATGGGTTGGCAACCCAACGGGCCAAGGAAGCCACCATCATCCTCTAGATAAGGGTCCTCGATCGGAAGCCGCAGGAAATGCAGAATGCACTCGTCTTGGGTGCGAGAACCAACGTGCTCGCAGACCTTGTTCCAGTCGTCCTTGTGCATTTCCAAGCCCTCGAGCAATAGCAGGGTCTCCTGGTCGGTCCATTCCCGTGCCATGCTTGCCGCCGTGCGGTTTCTCATTGCCGCCGGCTTCTTTGCGTACTGATCCAGCTTGAGTCCAAACTGGCTCACACCGGAACTTAATCCTCCGGCAGCGCCATTCTCAAGAGTCTCTGTCTTGATGCCAGTCAGACCACTTTTATCGCCTAATTCCAGGCCACCATCCTTGCCCAATGGCTTTTTGTCCAGATCCAACAGTGTTTTTGCTGCCGACGGTTGTTGCGTCTTTTGCGGATTTATGGACTGTAGACCCGATGGTGTATCCGAAAGAATGTGGAAGTGTGAGGTCGGTGGTGGACCCATTGGGGTGGGGCGGACATCCGCATCGATCTGGTAGTTAATGAGGCCCCACTGCTCCAAGAAGGCATGTACCCGCATTATGGCGCACACATCTCCTGCAAGATTACGCCTACACGCTGTGCTGGTCAAATACTCCGTCGGATTAAGCCTGAAATAAATATTAAATATTAAAAACTACTGCTGCCAAACAACTAGAGCTTCAGCTTACCTGTATGTGTCAATCATAAAGTTCCTGTAGGCCATATAGATTTCCGGTGTCTTCGACTTATTCTTGCTGTTGAAGAATTCTGGCATGGCACGTTTCTCGATCACGTGGATGGAGTTGTAATCAAACCAAGCCGAGTACGAGGGAACGATAATATGGTGCGTCTGCTCGGTTACATTATCCTCCATGTCCTCTTTGGCCGATGAGGAGAATTCCTGCGTGTTGCTGTTATCACTTGTCTTGCCTGTCTGCGAGTTGTCTCCATCTCCGGTTGACATGGCTTGAGCAGCGCTTCCTCCAGTCATTTCGTCATCCAAATCGGTCATAGTGCCGCCTAGATATCAGTTTTTTTAGTCCACGCAGATATAAGATAATAAGTCTTACCCTTAATAGGCATCATGTCGTTGTCGCCACGAGATTTACCGCCCGGAGCTGGACTGGCGGTGGACTGCAAGGCGGCGTTTGCCTTATGAACCTCCTGAACATTGGGCTCGGCCGGCGGATCATCCAGATCGCGGGTTAGATCCTCGTCGTCATCATCGTTGCGCGACTTTTTGTGCACCACGGCGGGAGAACGCTTACGCTTGCCCGGCTTGGAGGTGGATGCCGAAGTAGCGGGAGATGGTGAGCGACGTCTTTTCTGCTTGCCTCCGCCCGAGCTGGCGGCAGGCTTCTTCTTCTCGTCGCCGAAGGACATGATGTCATCTATGGACATACGCTGTTTGTGCGTCTTCTTCTTGCCCTGTTCGTCAACCTCGTAGTCCTCCTCGGCCATCCACTCATTGTACTGCTCCAAGTCCACGATCCAGGATGCAGACACCCGCCAGCGTTCCGCCGGTGACTCGGGATTCTCCGGAATGTGATCCGGCAAGTCAAAGTTATTAACAGCCCAAGAATCGTAGGACTCCGGGAAGTAGTACCAATGCAGCATCACGTGGCCGCCGCGCTTAAAAATGGGCCGCGCATACTCGTCGGGATGTGGGTCCACGACGGGATAGACGATATGGGTGGCGTCCTCTTCGTCCGACACAATCTCCACTCGCCGATTATCGAGGATCTCGCGCAGTTTTCCCTCGAAGCCCTTTTCAATCTCCGGCCGAATATAGATGTATGGTATCCGGTACAAATCCGCCTCGACCAATGCCTGCTCAATCTCAATCAGCAGCTGAATGTTAGGATCCTTGCGCGTGGGATTCTTGCCAATAGAAAAGTCGAACTTCTTGCCGCGTTGCTCGGCCCGGAAACGGAACATGGTCGAGAAGATGATGCACAGACCACCGCCGCTCTTGAAGTCCAGAAAGCAGCGCATCTGTGGGTGTGGGTGGTAAAATTATTAGATAGATGTTATAATAAACTTAAGCCTAAATCATGGTCAACGTAGCTAAATAAGAAATAATTGCGTGTGGTGGTTGTGTCGACTACAATAGGCCATTCGAGGGTTAATATTTACGTGTACACACGCAACACGGGGCACCCTGTATTCCTCACCCACCGCAGGCATATTCAATACTAACCGGAATTCTGGTTGCCGGCGGCTCCGCTGAATTCTTGCCCAGCTTCGCTTCCACATACTGCAGGAAGTGGATGAGCAATTGGGCCAATGACTCCTTCGTGATGGGCTCCGAACTGTGGGCCAAATACTGCAATAAATACGAATGTGAATAAATCGTTTTTTTCGCCGCCTGTCAGCGCCATTTTTGTTTGCGGCGGCGTTGTTGTTGGCACTCACCTTCTTGCAGTTCTTCTGCAGCCACTGGCGAATTGATTCGAAACCCTGCAGCGTTTCCGGCGACTGGAAAAAGTCTATATTTGGACTTCCGTCCTTCTTAGGACCCAGTGTGTTCATAGTGCGGCACTTTTGTGGACTTTTTGTCAATTATTTTTTCACTTTTCCACGCCAAAAAGCCAATAAACGATGCGTTGATAAAATGGAGATGGTGTTTAAATCGATGTCTTTGTGATCTTTGTTATCGATATTTTAACTTTCTCCACCGTCAGTTTTCACATTTTGAATATGTTTTACTCAGGCTATAAATATATAAGTATATTAATTAATATGAATTAAACGATATATATATATTAAAAAGAAAACGTATTAACTGGAAAGAGATTTAATTAGGCTTCGAAAAAGTTATAGCAACCTAACTGTCAGTAAATTTCATTTCTCAGTGAGAATAAGCTATTAAGTAAGAATTGCGCTTTAATTTCTTAATGCGATCTGGTCACACTGATCAGTGTGCTCTATCGGCGTCCCGCTCGCGCCGCCTAAAAACCGATGCACCACGATAGTCAGGCCGCACATATAAATGCGACTCCATCGAGCTAACATGGCTGCTGGGAACCGAAAACTTAAAAATATTGTGCTGTCGGAGTGTGTTTGCATCAGCGTGAAGCCCAGTGTTAAGTTAAAACATTGACTGCCCACGCCCACCAACGACAATTGCCGTAAATCTTATTCTACCGTAATTCGCAACGCCGGAGTCCCATCCGTGTGTACGTCGCGAGTGTGCCAGTGTGCGTGAAAATAAAAAGTCGCACCGTTGACTTGAGTGCGAGTGAGTAGGAAGAAAGCAAAGGCGATTGGATTGATTTGTGACGCTGCTGGCGAAAAGCAGTACCCCTACCCCATCCCGTGGGCCAAAACACACACATACGCACGGCTATAGTAACGCAGCATCGATTGTACAGTTTTAGAGCAAACAATTCAATTAGAAAATGCAGAGCGCATGAGTTGAATTGTGAGTGGGCGTCCCACAAAAGCTGATTGCTGCAGCACCGCAAAGGGAACGCGAAAGAGGAGTGTTGTAGTGTGGAGAAGAGAGAAAAAGCGAAGCGAAGAGGAAGAGAGCAACCATTGCCAAAGGTAAGTGATATAACATTCGGGGATCGGGAACAGAAACAGAAGGAACCCCCAAATTCTTATCCTCGATTGCAATAGTATTTATATGGCAGGCACTTATCGCTTCCGCTTGCGTGTGTGTGTGAGAAAGAGCTAGATAGTGGGGTCAATGGGGCACTCTGTTTATTGATAAGAGAGGAGAGCGAGCGAGAGGGAGAAAGAGAGAGGAGGTGGGCGCCAACGCAGCAAAACAGCGGAAATCCTTTACAAAAACTTGGTCTACCACTAGCTCTTTGTCTTTGCCTTTTGTTCTCTCGTATCATGTCATCTTGGTAGCCCGTTCTAGTGCGTGTATTTTTAGTAGCAGCACATTGCTCAATTCGCCAGCCGCTATTTGTGTCGTCCATTTGTTCATTCATCGGGCTCTTTTTCCGATTTCAGTGGGTGGCATTTAACAATAATCCCTGCGTTTGCTGTCCACGTCCACATTACGATACTTTTCGTGCACGGAAAGAAATGATCGGTGGCTTCATGATTTTGCAAATAATTTTGAGCCATAAACAATTTTTAGAAAATAGTTATTTATTTTAACTCACTATACTTTGATCCAATAATTTTTGATTGTAAAAAAATGTTCATCTACCAATCATCTCCGTTTAGCAATGCAGTGAATTTCTCTCTGTGCACTACAATGCCAGGCGGTACAAGCACCTGTATTTATTTATGGTCCGCTGCCGTAATCGACTGCAGTCGCCGCTTCCCTCTCTCTTTCGCCACCAACAACTTGGGGTAGGGCACCTGAACTAGTTTCAAACGGCGGAGCTCGGCCTTTTCAGCTTTTTCGCATTTGCCATTTTCCCGCTGTTCGCAATATCAGCGACATTTGTCACAGTTTCGTTAAGAACATTTGAATATCCAAAGTTTACTTGCCGAACTTGACTGCGGCGTTGCGGTGATGATGCTGCATAAGTTAAACAGCCCCTTGTTTATCACACAGCTCCATCAATTAGATCCCGATCTGTGCCATATGCACATTGTGCAAAATACGCAGCAACAGCTGTCCCAATATTGGCCAAATTTGGTGCAAATATGGAACACTTCGCAAATATAAAACACATATGGCTCGATCACTGCCTAAATGTGTCTGTTTCGGCGAAATTTCAGCAGATGACCTATTGATCATATACTTTATTGAATTAAAACTATTTATAATTTCCAAAAGCAATAAGCACATACACACAGAACTGCAAGTTAACCATTCCTGCTCTGGGGATTATGATAGTAATAAGTGGGCGGACTATACGCTCATCTTGCTTTGGAAAAAAAAAAATGAACACCGACTAACTTAGTTAAATGTGGCAAATTAAAGCATTCATATTCATTTAATTAATTTATTTTCAATAATCAAGCGACATGGCAGGGGAAGTAGTCTGGCTTATCTTTAGTGTAAACAAATGACCCAGCATTTCCGTCAAGCCGTCTATAAATAAAAAAGCTCACAGAACTTGCCACACAAAATTCCAAACACTTGGTCTAGCCTAATCGGTATTTTACGAGTGCCATTTGGTGATAATGAAAAACATATTCGCAGCTTATCGTTCGATGAAAATGTACAACTAGATGCTTGGCACGTAATACTGGGTGAAAGCAATATGGAATAAACATCGCATAATACCGCACTCTCAACGGAACAAATTTTGAGAGGAAAAATTGAATAGTGCAAAGTATTTAATCATTTGTCTGCATTGCTACATACTGTTGTAATTAAGAAAAATTCAGCAAAATTCTCACGGTGCGTTTCGTCACTATCTGACGGCCATCCCCATTGATGACTGCTATTTCTTTTATGAATGTTCATCTAATGGAAACTTAATTACCTAGCCAGCGGGGCATTTTCCTGCTTCCAATCCATGGCAATCCAATCCCAATCCCATTCCCCCCTCGCCTCGGTGGGTGGCTTCGACAAGGTCGCTGACAAATCGAAGTACAGCAGATTTGTCGCCGATAAATTGGTTTTATGGTTGGTCGGACAAAGCTAAACGGACATGCCATATGTACAAACGATTTCATTATGACTTTACGTCGTTTTTAATATTATGTATTTCTCTATTGTTAATGTAAGCGTGTGCGCTTTATTGGCTTGATTATTTATGGATAAACATTTTCAATAAATCTACACGTGCCTTAAGACCGCGCCGTGTTCGTTATTATTTATTCTAATCGTAAATTTAAACATATTCTCAAAACGGTTCAGTGAACCGTGGGTTTTGCAAGTTCTTATCACCCACAACGCACTGCATTGATAACAGCCATTCAAAACTGAAAGCGTCAAGAGTAAAAGTATGTGTCACTTTGAAATATCGGCAATCTCCTTGTAATAATTCGAGGTAAACGGGCTTTAAACCAGGCCCCGGTCTTGGACCCCCTGGCTTTTTGTACGTAATACGGGAATATGGAATATGGAAATGTCGTAATTTGCTCAATTGTCACGTTCTGCTCTAAGCTGCTAAGAACGTCTCGGCGGCCACAACGAAGTCATTACTCGCCATTTGCGTTGAGTGACTCAATTTACAGAGCCTAACCCCTCTTGTTGGCGAAGCTTTGCAATGCTCCCCAGGAAATCCAACCCAGCACCGACTCGATAGTCCATGTCTTTTGCTTTCCTCGACCACGTGTCCAGTCTTTATTGGTCGATTGGATTGCGGTGGGAAAGGCAAAATTTCGAGATTGTGGCAGTCGTCGCGCTGAGCTCTGCGGCCATTCTATAGTACAGTAGTACAGTAATAAAATCGTACTAATTGGTTAATTTTTAATTTGGAAATATGTTATACATTGTTCGCGAGCGTAAGAATCTCCTTTTAAATTTCATCAGGGAATGTGTCGGGGGATAAATGGTCGAGCTGGTGTTTGGACGTAAATATTAAAAATGTAGTTACTCGTCGACATTAAAAGGAAATCATAAGGTAGCCTGAGTCAAGCAAATCGAAAAATTGAACCAACTTACTCGATGACGTTCGTGGCGACTTGTATATTGTTTTTATTTTTCTGGAAATCCATTTTTTTCGCACACTGAGTAATAGTATTAAACAATTTGGTATGGATATTAACATTCTTCTATAATACGTGCTATGGAGACAACATTCCATCAAATGATTCGCTTAATTCTATTATTAATTGACTTTGCTATATGGATGTATCGACTTGTTATTGCTGTTTTGGTCTGACTCACTTAAATAATATATGTTATATGAGAACCCTTGCCTGAGTGAGAAAATACAAAAACGAATTCAATTTCAAAACATTTCGTCAATTTTATGTACGCCTTATATAACATATTTATATAATATAATAACATATAATATCATTTATTTAACATCTTTTTTGATTTCCAGATTAGTTACTTAGATTATTATATCAACGGATCACAAAGAGAACCACAAATTACCATTATATAAGTATAATGACATCTAGGTATGTTTGTCAATTTAAAACACCGTAGGTCTAAATTGCTTATTTTATTTAACATCCCTTGCAGACTTGATCGACTGTTCATTCTACTGGAGACCGGCTCCACAGCGGCAACTCGTCAGGCGGCTGCTAAGCAGATTGGTGAGGTCCAGAAGCTTTATCCACACGAGCTGCATGCTCTGCTGAACAGATTGGTGGGCTACCTGCACAGTCCGTCCTGGGAGACGCGGATAGCTGCAGCCCAGACCGTTGAGGCCATACTAAAGCAAGTACCGGCCTGGCAGCCGGAACTTCAAGTGCTGCCCAAGAAGGAGCGCTGCGCTAGTAATACTGCAACAGCAGCTGCAGCTGCAGCAGAAGAGGACAGTTGTCAGTCAAGTGGTTCCAGCTCGACAACGACCAGCGAGCGACTACTCAGCTTTGATGAGTTCGATCTGCAGCAAATTCTCCAAAAAGGTGCCAGACTCATTGGCTCCGAGGGCAACGAGTTCGATGCGCAGGAGGAGCAACCGGCTAGTGGGGGCGGGGAGGAGGACAAAAGTCTCGCCAGTCGTCTAAGCCGTCAGCGGGCGGTGCTAAACGATAAACTGGGTCTCACCACGGCCGCCAAGCTGGGCGTAAATCTTACTGATATGATAACAGACGAGGACGTTGCGCTTACA